CAGAACCTGTAAATATTATGGCAGCTGATGTGGCTGATGTTTTAGTTCATCTTTTGAGGGAAGAAATTGAAAAGCTTGTTCTTGTCTTTCTATCTAGTGCCAGTGTTAATGCAGTAGACAACTTCCGCTGGACACCCCTGCACCACGCCTGCCATGGGGGCCAGGTGGATGTGGTGACCACCCTGGTGAGTGCAGGGGCCGACATCGATGCACAGACCATGAATGGGGCCACGCCTCTGATGAGGGCCATCGAGTGCTCAAACGAACCCATCGTCAGTTTCCTGATTGAGCAGGGTGTCAACATGAGGAAGGAAAACAAGAAAGGTGAGTTGCTTCCTGGGGCAGCTTCCTCAAGTGCTGTTCAAAACTTGTCTGATACATGTAGTAGATGACTTGACCGAAACCTGAGTTTGCTTCAACCAAAATTCACAGCAAATGGCACTGCAGCAGGGTAAGGTAATATGTTGTTGAGGTTTGTCTATCGTAGTCGATGAAGACCTTAACTTTTTCAGTCATGTGTGCATGAACATCATCATCATGATAATTTAGGGGTAAGGTAGCATACATAGTGTACATCTGATTCACAGTCTTTGTTTACAGGTAGTACAGTTATGTACTTACAGGGCTCGTTGTTATCCTGTTTCAGAACACAATGCGTTGGACACTGCCAAGGAATGGGCGGATCCCAGAGTGCTGTCGATCGTGCAGGCCAAGTTTGACTCTCTGCCTGCACCCAAGAAGAAGAAGGGAGGGAGGGCGGCCAAGAAGAGCCCTGCCACGCGCCCGCAGACGGTCCCTCCCATCCCCTTCGGGAAGGGTGACGGGCCTGACGGAGGGAAGAAGGTAAAAAAGACTGTGAGGTTTCTCCTGCCACCCATCACCACACATACTGTGTATCACATTCACCAGCACAAACCTGTGGAAAAGAAAGCCAAGAAGAGGCTCCGCAAGTTTCCTTCCAAATTCCCACCAGGCCCCCATCTCACCACCCTGGTGTCTGTGTACAGCCCTTATAGAGACCCATCTCTCTTGGCTTTGAGAAGGACAGTTTTGCACCAGCTCCAAATGTCATTTTACCAGTAATCATATCAATATACAGATGAGTCAAAAGGTTCCTTCAGATGCTTTCAGGAGCTTAAGTTTGCCTGATGATGTGAACAAACAAAAAACTAACAATCAATGATGGGCCACTTTGACACAGCCTTTCCCTAAAGGCCAACTTGTCAAAAGTTGCACAATCTTTTATCATGTGTGGTGTAATAAATGAATACTGCTTAAATTTACCAGTGTAATGGTTTGACATTAAAAAAGGTTTGAAATCATTTAAAAAAAAAAAACAACTTTCGATTCCTAGTATAGTGCCCATGTAACCAAACTGACTCAACTAACAAGACCATAATGTATTATTAAATTAATCCACGAGGATGTGGTGACACTAACCCTGGGTGATTCCTAACCACAATAAAGTCATTGAAAAACTAACAGAATAAATTTTCACTGTGCTGGACGATAAACATTATAAGGACTGAAGATGGTGCCTTCTTTGCTGTGCTAAAAACAATGTTGAGTACAACACAGTATTTTAAATTTATAGTTGCACATAGAGTGAAAATGATGAAAGGAAGTGAACTGTCAGCATGATCATGGCTGCATGTTTGAACAAATCACCTGCTGCATTTCCTATTGGCTTTTCTTCATTTCATTTTATCTGATGCACAAATTTCAGAAATTCATAAAGCTACACTTTAAAGGTGTGAACATCTGCCAAATTAATTATTGCTTCTGCACAAAGATGCCACTGCAATTAAAAGGTTCATCAAAGAGGCAAGTCAGGCACTATCTCACCCACCTTCATTCCATCAGTTTGTAAATAATACTCATCAGCTACATCTTTGTCCCATCATGCCCCAGGAGGAAGCGAGAATCCATAAAGTCACATTTGAATAAGGTAATAAGGTAACAGACAACTGTGATATATCAGACTAACCATGTGTGGTAGATAAAGGTTGCTTTTACTCACCAAAGTTTTGACATCCAAGTGTGTTATCAAGAGCACCATGCGTTGATGTGTTGTCATGAGTTCTAGACCCTCTAACAAACAAAACAACATTATAAGTTTAGCAATTACATTAGGTTTAACATAGATTTTGAGTCACAAGAGTAGAGAAGGAAAAAGCTTTCTGAGAGATGACAAGATTAGGCTAGAGATTTTCAATATGGGAATGTTGAATTATGGTATGTGACTGACTGACACTGGACAGAGACTCGTTTTGGAGAAAATGCATGACGTGACAAGCTACAGATGAAAAACTGGACCAGCATGTCACACGACCAACATCACTGACCCCATGACATCTGACTGACAGACACATGACTGATTACCAACAACTATCAGGGAAGTACCAAACTGGTTGTAGAAAATAGTCTTGTTGGTAGTTGAAGAGCATCTTTAAACAATGGCAACCTGTCAAAGCAAATATTGCACTTACCAGGAAGCTTTAGATGTTGTGTATTTAGTAAAAAATCATCTTGTGCCAGTAATGGTACAATTCTACATATAGCACATAGTGACTTAGTAGCATGAGTGTAGTGAAGTGTACTGTGCTGTTTTTGATCATAACCTGTTGGCTTTGCCATTTGTATGTATTGTGTGTTCGCTAACCTTTGCTGTGCTTTGATTTTGCATATTTCACTTTATGTTTTGGTTGAATATTGTGCTTTATGTAAGGTTTTCTATAGCCTAGGTTAACAGAGAGTAGATTCAGTTGTGAAACAATTTGGCTATTCCATGTTTCAATGCTCTTCTAGTTCTACTGCCAAAGGTGAGAAAGTACTAAACATAAAACATGGTTTATATGTAGTAAGCACAATTCTATTGGTTAGGCCACACCAATTTAATTTCTTGGTTAACGGATTCGCCGCTTCATTTTTTTCTGATTTGCAAATAAAAATAAAAATTCAGAATCAACTGCAAAATGCTCATATTTTGCCCTGAACAGTTGAAAAGAGTCCTTTGCTTACTACTTTTTACAGTCATTCCATCTTTCAATGCAATGGTATCATTAAAAGTTCATAATTCATTGTTTAAATTTTGAACCAGCCTGGTGTGTTGACTTCATGGCTCCTATCATACCATTTTGGGCCATAATTGGATGCCTAGGCCTGTTTTATTTTTTTTTTTTCGCCCGCCCGCTCCATTATTTTTCTAGAAAAATCCGTTAACCAAGAAATTAAATTGGTGTGGCCTTATGGTAAGACAATCTAGAACTCACAGCCTGTAAGTAGCAGCCGACAGAAGAAGAATCTAGAACCTTAAGAAAGGTTTACTCACTGCATTATTGTTTCTCCAGTCCCCAGACCCAGGTAAGGTGAAGGACCTGGTGCCTGAGTTCATGCCCCCGCTGCAGACACCGCCCCGGTCAGCCGACAGGAGAAGCTCGGTCATCCGCGTCCAGTCCAGCATGGCGGGGCGCGTGGAGGAGCGGGAGGACGTCACGTACGAGCCCAAGAAGGTTTGGACGCACCAGCCCACCAAGGACGAGCTGCTGCAGAGGAAGGAGACGGAGAGGACCAGGTGGGGGTACGAGCTGGACTTCCCCAACTACAAACCTCCCTTCCAGAAGAACATCGCCTCCAGGGTCGAGCTGTTCGGTGGGCCAGAAGACTGAGAAACTACCAGCGTCCAAAGTAGTTTCATCAGCATATTAAATTAATATTGTTTTCCTTAGGTGGACAACTGTATTTTTCTCTCTACCAACATTTCGGCAGCCTATCTGCCATCTTCATAAGAGGAAATTGAACTTTCTCCTAGTTGTAAATATGTAATGGTGCTACAACATTATGACAATAAGAGAAAGTTCAATTTGTCTTGATGAAGGCCGTAGATAAGCCAGCGAAACATCGGTACAGAGAAAATCAAGGTTGTGCACCTTTGGCTTGGAAAACTGTTTAAACCACTATAGCCTCTCCATGGTGCATTTCAAATGTTCAAATAGCTGGGGAGTGGAAGAACCTTAAGATTTCTTCAAAGTGGAAATTATCAACTTGAAGAATAAATGAAAGTATTTTGTAAGATGAACAAGATTATTGAAGATAACATAAAAACAGGAAGGATTCATAACGTTTATTGCTGGTCTTTCAATTGCTGTTTAGGTTGCAATTAGAAAGGCAACTTGAGGTCTATAGGAGTGTGGCAATGTTTTCACTATAAAATTTAAGATTTGTAGGTACATTGTTAGCATGTCTGTTAAGATTTGGCTCAGGAAGTACTTGTGATAAGAGATTATTTGTATTCTAAAACTGTTAATAAATAAATCAGAGTGTGTAACTTTTATTGTTGAAGAATCAAACCTGACAGCATATTGTGCAATATGTAATGTTGGCACACAGGCCTAGCAAGTGATTTGTGAAGGGATGAATTTTTCTTTCAAAAGCGATGTATACATATACGTTGTATTTTCATCTTCAAAATTCCCATACCTTCTTGTTCTTCAAAGAGAGAAATGAAGATAGACACAATATCTTTTTATTGCTACTGCATACATCTGTGTGCATCTTCCAGCTTACTGTGGAGTCTTCAGCTTCTGAGGATGAAACCTGAAACTTGATTTCTGAAATTGTTGAGATTTAGTGGAAAATTTATGGAGCAAAAGAACTATTGAGTTACCAGGTAACCTGTGTTTACTTTTTAACTTCTGGACCATGCACATTTCTCAATAGTTATAGGGTTCAAAATGTTCCTTCTCTTCTAATTATGGATCCATTCAAAGTAGTCTGATCTTGTGTTCAACAATGAAGACATGACTGAACTCGATCACATGTACTCAGGATTCTTACACATTGAGAGAGATTTAATATCTTTAGTCAATCAAGGGAATCATAATTCATTTTCCAATATACAACTATTGTGGCATGTTTACATGCCGTGTATTATTTGAAGCCTGAATGAAAAAGAGCATGCTTGGTAAACTTGCATCTATCAAGTACTACTATCACTTTTTTCAATCGATTGATGTTCTATGTACAGTTTGCTTGAGATTATAATTCGGAATAATGATTGTTCTTGAAGTTTGAATAAACTTTCTTGCTGGACATGATTGAAGATTCTAAAACATTGATTGTGTTGCTTGAATTGCTGCATGTAATATCTGCATGGATAAGACATAGTAGTACAATTATTATAGTTGACCCTCAGTTGCACTTTGCATTGCCTGGAGGTTGTGGCAGTGAAGCATTGCACCTAGTGGAATACAGAGGAACTGCACTACAACATGACATCCACTAGTAGATTAAAATTGCAGTACTGATTAAACAGATCTGAACTAAGTTGAGGTTATCATTATCTCAATAAATGTCTTAACCAAATTTTGAGTAGACCCATAAAATATAGAGAGCATTAGACTGACTCCAGAATAACTTCAAACAACATTCATCAGTGAAGCTGAAAGTTTAATTACATGTACAGTCATGGTGAAAACTTGAATGTGTTAACGTTACATTATTTATGACTTGCTCCTGACTGCACGGTTCCTTGTGGATTAACAGGACACACCGATTCTATTCCTCAGTTATTGAATGAGTGACAATGAATGACTGCATGGACTGTTGATGTCTTGGTGCAGGATAGGAATTGCTCCTGCCAATGATTGAGAGTTTTCAGCTCAACATTGTTCCAAACCATTGCAAGTAACTGGCATTAGAATAAAATCAGTGTGGCCATACAAAGAGCCATATTGTAATACTAACAGTGGGCAGTTAATGCTCCAAACAACATCTGTGCAACAATTAGAAAATGGAACAACAACAAATCCCTGCCAAATAAGCTAGCTGCAGGAACCTAACAGTCTGAACAAGTTGTGAGCTGTGTCTAACCTTTTGTGCTAGCTGGAATCTGACCAGTGCAACAAAATGGAAACTGGCTAACAACTATGTATCTTTAAACATCTGGTATGAAGGCGTCTGTACATCCAGCGAGAGCATGACAATGATAAACTGATATTTAATCTCCATGCAGATGTTTAGGTAGAAAAAGTAAAATGTTTATTGACTGGCAGTCAGAAAAGCCTGGCCAGTCAAAAAACATAGTACAGGTATATGATATTCTACCCCAACATCTGCTTTGAGATTAAGATGAACTGACACTTTCCAACTAAGCTGCAGAACAACAGTACAGATCTAACATTAACAGTTACATGTTCATTTCTACCAACAAATTTGGGTTAACAAATTTGCAGGACATAATATGTATGGGACCAAGCAAGAACCACATTATCCTCTCTACCAGTAATGCCTTGGATAGTCGATAGAATGGTGCTCATCAGGGTAGTCTAAAATACATAATGGTACTCAAGAGCCTGATATGCAACTCATTATCACACCCCTACATCTCGTTATGTAAGGGGATGCTTAAATAGATTTAACAGTGCATGCACAAAAGAATGGTGGCCCTTATTCTCAACAGATACATTCAATGTTTACATACCATTTAAATATGTTAATATGATGCAGGTAAGCTGTTAATGCAATCCAATATCATTTGGCCAAATATATGTTATACACTTACTCTTTGATTTGACACAATTCAGAACTGCTACCGTTTCTAACATTGAGTGGTGAATTAAGATTCGGTGAATTATGACTCCATGGAATTTTTTAAAGGAAATTATTCTACTTAACCTCCTTCCTGATGTGGTTCCTCCATGTACCACAGTTTGTATTTGTTACTGGTACATCTGGAGTTAGCAGGGACAAGGCTATGGGTCAGTGGTAGATTGGCTTGATCTATGATAGCTGCTGGCTGGTCCAAACTTCTTAAACCGATGCTATATGAACTTTTATTCATCACAATCCTCAATGGAAAGTGAAGACTAACATAACATAAAACACAACACAGTAATCTAGACAAACAAGTATATAATACATATCTTGCAGCTTTTAGAAATAATTTATGACCAAATCTACTCAGTTTTTACGTCTCCATCTCTGTACATAATTACATTCTTATATCTTCTGACGTCGACTCACAAAAATAGTTGCACTCTCTCCTCTGCTTGTGATCAGATAATTATTAAATTTATGCTTCTTTCTCATCACATAGCTTTCAAAACTAGCTCTACACTAAGATGTCTATAGATGCTGATGTCTACATGTACATGTACATCTAACACATTCACAGAAGGGTATGTATAAAGGTAGGTTACAAGGGTAGTGTCTACATGACTAATGTGCAGATCCTCATTTCATAAAATAAAACATAACATTACGATATTTCTTTCCTATTTCATACATTTGAACTCCTTCCTCAAACGTTTTACCTCTACTTTCTTCATTCCCCTTGTAGTATATTTTACTCCACTCACCAAAAATGGCCTGGGAAGTAAACAGTTGCAAATATACAGAAAATCCATTGTCTCTGGGGAGCAAGTCTTGGGTTAAGCACATTGCTTAAAAACATACAGAAAAAAAGTATAGATCTTAAAATTCGATTATCAAGGGCAAAGCCATATTATCAGATGTCACTACAGCAAAATGGCAAAGACCTGCATGAGAAGATGAAAGAATACACTGGCAGAATCTCTTCTTTTGAGATTTTACGTTAATATTATATTTTTGCATACCACAAACTAAAAACATTGGGATTCCAGACTTAGGTTTTCCACTACCATCAGTATCTTTCCGTCATTAGCAATTGTATGAGGAATGCGAGGGACTACTGAACATAAATGACTCACATTGCAGCTCAATACTTCATCTGAAGTACTCTTCAATACTTCTCCAAACTGTCTGAATGCTTCTTAGATGATCCCAAGGCAGAGTATGTTTTGAGGGATTTTTCCCATTCTTCTACATACAGACCTACAATGGCAATAGAAAATGCTCTACCCTGTTTTCTTTTGAGATTACTTTGTCCTGTCTAGTGCTGACACCAATCTACCTGTACATCTTTGGTATGTATCATTCTGGAATGTCAATCAGTTGGATCACGTAAGACAAGAAACAAACACTACGTATCTTCCCAACAAACTGCATTTCTAGAGTTGAAGCTTTACTGGCCATTAAACAGTGTTATTGACTGTTGCTACTATAATAACATTCTTTACTTGGAGTACACCAAGGACATCCCCAGGATTTGGAGAAAAATTAAGTCTGTAAATACTTCGGTAAAGGTTAGACAGAGTGTCACTGACAAAAGGTAGTGGATGCTACCTGAAACATCTGACCGTTTCCAAAATCATATCCAGTTGCTTGAGTAACTGTTTTTGGCGCATCTGTAAATAGCTTTACATTGATATATCCTGGTCGGGTCCTGGGGACATCCCTGGAGTACAGGATATTCTACAAAACTTGCTAATACAAACTTAAGCTTTCTTTTAGTTCTTTACCCATCTCTTTCTAGTACAAGTATACTGTTATATTACAAAAAAGCATCCTTCTGGTAATGTAGTTGTCTTTTCTGTACAGTGGTTAGTTGTTTGTGCTTGAAACATTACTTCTATTATACAGGAATGCAGAGTTCCATTGTTATCATTTCATGCATATGTAGGTTTGTCAAGAGAAGCGAGAGATATGTTACAGTGAGCAGGACCCAGTCCTGTACACCACTGTTCCCATGTGTCCTTTTAGTTCGGCTGTATCTGTCTGTACACAGGAATAATTTTGGATAATCCAACAACTAATGGCCCCTTGCTGATAACTGTCAGTCTGCTGTGCACCCTTATTACTCTCTCCTTGGTCGCCGTCTGGAGCTCCCATAGTCAAAGTCTCCGCTCATTCTGGACCTCTTGACCACCTGCACCTGCGACTGTGCCGTCAGCTGCAGCTTGATTGCACTGGCGTTCAGCTTACCCGTGGAGGTCAGCAGTTCCTTCAGCCCCTTCATCTTTGCACTGGAGAACTTGACGACGGGAGGGGGGGCATGGGCACCTTGAACTTGTCGTCCTCTGTCGTACCGAGGACGGGGGCGGCGTTACCTCGGCTCGCGGTGTCTCCCTGACCCTGCGAGGTCTGGAAAGCCATCTCCGCAGGGCTCTCCGCTTTCAATACAGACTCCATGGTCATACCAGGGAAGGGGTTGCCATTGGACCGCTGACTGAGGAACTCGCTGACGTCAGGACGGGAGTCCACGGTACGCGTGGCGAAGGGACTGCAGCTGCGCTCCAGGCCTCCCAGCAGGTACGTCTGGGTTCAGGATGTTCTCCCCGCACTTCGCAGCCAGGTCGGCAATGTTCGGGTGTGGGGCCTCGTTCTGGGAGTCAGGATCCACCTTCGAGGCCAGGCTCTCAATGGTAGACAGCAGGGTCTCATTGGTTAGCCTGGTATTGCCACTGTGCTCCTGTCTGCTCTGTGCATCGGCCTTCCCTTTTGCCTCCTTCCCTTCTAACACTACCCCGTTCTTTTCCTTCTCTACCTTTTCCTTTTGCGACGGTCCCTACTGCCTTTTGACCCGCGACCTCTACCTTTCTTTGTCTCCTCCTTTTCTTCCGTCTTATTTTCTTCTTCATCTTTTTCCTTCTCCTCTTCTTCCTCCTCCTCTTCTTCCTCATCTTTTAGCACTTCCCCTTGATCTCCGATTAAGAGGATGTTTAACTTTGACCTGACTTGAGGTGAGAAGCTGTTTATAGATTGCACGATGTGCTTGGCCCACCCGATATGTAGGACTGGCGTCGAGCTCCCTTCCTCCCACTGACAGATGCCGTCATATAACTGCAGCAGGTAAGCGAAACACTCGGGGTCGTTTAGCAAGGGCGACTGTGCCACTGCCACCGGGGTGGATCGTCCGTTTGACTTCTCTGAAGAGTCGTCAGTGCTGGAGGCTGGAGACAGCGCAGGGGACTGCAGGGTCGACAGGCTTACCGACTTCAGCACGTTGGGGATGAGCTCGTGAGCTATCTCAAGGAACTCCTTGTAAATTTCTTCGTCCTCACGGTTGTAGTTGTAGCTATGGAAGCCAAGAAAACGACACAATGAACAGCTTGCTTCCTTGTTGCCATTTTATTTTGAAGCCATTTCTACACTTTTTGTCCACTTGCAAAGTAATGATTATGACCAAAAGCAGAACACTTCATGGCTTGATCACACCAACTTGTTAGACACATGTACAGCACTTACCTTCTGATAACATTAGCAGCCTGAGCCCAGCAATGGAGAGCATCCTTGAACTGACCACGCCTGAAAGTAATCATTTCAGAGTTGAGGATCCTGTACTCATACTTGGACAACGAAGATATATGAAGAGTTTCAAAAGATACAGCCACTATTCCACAAACAAGACAAGAAGAGATCATAGCAGTATGGTCTACAAAACATTTTTTCTGAGTACTTCATGAAAAAGTATACATGTACCAATTAACATGTTTATGATTCCAAATGTAATCCTTTAGAATCTGATTGGAAAGCCTACCTATAATAGTGGCCGCCCAGGTAGGTATAGGGGTAGACATGTTGGTTGTTGTAGTATACTTTGCCAGCATGGATGCCTTCGTGGAACAGCTGTATAGGAGGGGGTTTGTCTGGAGTGGGGTCAATCTCCTCCAGATCAGCCAGGTTTCCCAGGGCCATGGGATACCTGTAGGAGAGGTACAGAAAAAAGACTGAACCATGTGATATTTCAAAAGCAGGGTCAGCCTGCTTCAAGTCATACAATGTGTCTTTGTATAACTGTAGTTACCTTGACATGCAGGCGTGATTATCTCAGTATTCAACCTCTTTAAAAAGCATACATGCCCTGAGTGCTGAATGTTATTACTTTTCTTTGTTAAAAATGGCAAAAGTACAAGCATCTATGGAAATTCTACATCACCAGGCTGGCTACTATGTTGTGTGCTTTGAGTTAACACTATACATGTAGAATAGTAAACACAAGAGGTTGTCTTACTTTCGTAGATGCCCCATCTCATACAGCAACCAAAGCAGCTCCTGTAGTGGGAAAAAGGATAGGTGAAAAGATTACATGTAGGTCATGATCATACAGACAGTTGTGGATGGGAGGCAATCAGAGTAAGTTTAGTTACCAATACTATATACATGTATAACACTATTTTATTAATATATTAATAGATGCCCCTTTCTCAATCACATTGTTTAATCTGGCTTCCTGGGCCATAGTAGAGCCCAAACAAGTGTTTGCACAACTGATGTACTAACCTGTTGCAGTGATGCCATCTCGATGCTGTCTGTGTGTGAGTCTATGGACGGATTGATGGCCGACACCATGGCTGCCACCTCCATGCTCCTGGTACACTGCACAGGGAAACCATACAGGTACAACCAGCTCTTCTCAGCCACTCCCACACTGATGGGCTGTCCTCTCTTGTCCTCGTTCCCCTTCCCGTGCCACGTCACCTCTGCTGTCTCAGCACCCTTGTCCCCAAAGGTTACCCAGGCGTGGTCTTCAGACAGGGCCAGGTGGACATCCTTATAGCCCAGCACCTGGCAGGCAGCGACCACAGCAAACGCAACCCCGAAACAGTCCAGGCGATTTCCTGAGACACAGGAACAAACATCACTACAACATAAACTACAAGGCAGCTTACACTTAATACAGTCTTAAAAATTTGTACAAGTTGTTATACTAAGTAATCCTCTCTGCTGTTAGCAATAAATACTAAATAAAAATTGTTCATTATTGAATGATGTGATGTGTGCTGAAGCATATCTAGTGCTAGAGGGAAAGAGTGTTAGTCTCTTACTACATGATGAATCCCTTATATTACTGTTAGTAATTCGAACTTGAAGGTTTTAAGGATCTTATTTCATTTCCTCTTCTGCTGACACTAAGCAACAGCTACTTGGCATGAGTTCTCTGTAGGTCCAGTCCAAATTTATCATCATCATCATCACTCTTCATGCCATATAATGGTCCAAAGTTACCCAACCATACTATGGCCATAGGGAAGAACCCTAGATTCTACTTTCTGTTCCCTTTTTTGGCAATATTGACTAGGTGTACAAAGTGACTCACAACATGGAATACATTTGACTTAAGGCTAAGAATTAAGAGCATGAGTCAGTCACTACCAACAGTTTTCCATCATGATGATACTTATATCCCATCCCCATAAAAGGGAACTTTGGTATTTAATATGAAGTCTATAAAATATATTGAGCTTTCAGGTCACACATAAATACACACAGTCACACACATGCATATATACTGGTAACATGCATTGCAGCATTAGACAATGTCCTGACACTGCTGTCAGCCGTTAGTAGCACGTTTCCTTGTTCTTCATCAGTCTTTATTGTAGATGGATAACTGTCAACCACACAGTTCAATGGATTGGCACATGATGCTGCAACCTCACATTATTGTAATTAAGTTCTTTTCAGCCATTTACTGTATTATTGTACCTGCCTGTTCCCATATTATCATTGTAGAAGGTACACATCACACTTTGTTAGCTCAGTTCCTCGGCAACCTATCAGAGGACATTTACCAACCAGCAACCCCACTTCCCCTTGGCAAATGGCATACTTGGCAAACTTCCAAGACATCAGGTATGTAAAATTGTATAGTCTGGGGAGATTGAAATGCAAATAACGGGACAGGCGTGCTATTTCCGCACAGCAGGACGGAGGCCACGGCACCTGGTATGCATGACATATAAGGCCTGTTTATTGACACTTTGCCATTATTACGAGGTGAATTGGCCCCAAAAATTAAGGCAGGGTGCCTGCAATACAACTCTCCACTTACAGGGCCCCCTGAAGGGACAGATCAAGCATAGCCAGATGGCCACCTTGGCTGAGATACATGTTGGAATACAGATGTAAACAAAGCCATCTATGACTTGGTTTGTGTATGTATAATGCATGTTAAAGTACACTGACTCAGTTCTACCTTGCTACGAAACTGGCTGATGATGTCATCAATGAATCATGGGCTGGGTCTAATTACAAGTAAATAATGGGAAGTCCCTAGTAGGTAGCTACCAACAAACATGACAAATGGGGTACAGATAGAAGGAAAGCGAATGGCCCGTTAGCAAATGGTTAGCCACGACAACCGCTACCTATGTACGGTATAGCGTCTACTGATCTCCATGACAAGCACGAAACCGTTATGTTAACCTACTGCCCCATATTTGCAACTTACTATGAATCATCAAGGTATATGCTATCGAAATGGCAATGGTTTGGAACAAACGGCACTGCGGACAATGCTAAGGTGCTACGAGTTTGGCATGCCACTGCCATGACTTCATTTGAAGAACTGACAACCCCCCTAACGAGTCCAGTGCGGGGTAACGCCCCCTGCCCCCCTCCCCCTTTCCTGCCATGCGTCGTAAACAACAGAAACGTTACCTGTGAGATAGCTGTAGAGGGACTGCAGATGCGCTCTGTCAGTGTGGTACGACCGTGACAGCGAGCTCCAAATCACGTCAGACACCTTTTTCACGAGCTCCCGCGTCGCCACCCCGTGCGTGAACTGGCTCAGATCGACGGAGCCTTTGATCTGACAGACGAACTTGTGGTACAGGGCTTCCACAGGAGCGAGCTCCACCACGGGAAAGATCGGCTCCAAATTAGCCCCGCTATCTACCTTGTTCAGGGCCCTGTTGTTGGTCAGGACATTCTCAATATACCCCAGGGTCACAGAGAGCAGTGCCAGATTGGGCTCTACGCTGCATGACAGTTGCGATCGAAAGAGTTCCACGACGGATTTGATGTCTTGCAAAGGGAAGTGGCGTTTATCCTCATCTCGAAAGCCCGCCATGTTGAGTGAAATTGCTCACTGCGTCAGCGCGCGCAAAACTGTTCGAATCAACGGGACGGTCGACTACACCTACTGGGGGTGTCTATAGTTAACTATTCACAAGAAATTGTTAAAACAACCTCTAAATGCATTTAAATAAGTCCAACATCTGCGTATCGTATGATACTATAGAGTCTCTTTCCATCTTTTGCTTTTAATTTAAGTCTTATGACTATTCTGGTTCGATAATATTTCTTAGGTTACACGTTGACACCCGTATGATCCATTCTGGACGAAAAGTGACCAATAAGAGGGCATCTTCATCCAGGCTGTGACGTAGCATGCAATTTCGCAACAGAAACTGCAAATCATGGCTATCTGAATGGATGAATCATAGCTCATAAGCTTCTTGACCTCTTTGAAAATATTCCTGCGTGCAACTTCCCTCAACGTGTGACGGAAACACCCAGTTTTTCTTCCGGATTAATTCATGCAACGTGGTCTCGTGAAATCACTCGTTTTCACGCGAGATATTGAAATTTAAACATGGCGGACACACAGGCGAAAGAAAACACCGGTGCCACGGCGGAAAATGTTGTTAGTAACGCCGATACTGGCGATTCTGACGGGCAACTTGTAGCTCAGCAGGAACAAGATGGTCAGGTGTGTTGTTGGATCCATGTTTTCTTTCCATTCCTTTAATAGTGAAGGTTGTATTGGACTGTAAAGTTACATGTGGATTTGTGAATGAGTCACTCATGACTTACCTAGCATACGGAACGGTACTCATTTTTCCCAGGCCGGCGCTCCCGCAGAGCAAGAGCCTCTGGAGCAGCCACAGCAAAACACCTGGCAAGTGGTCAAGAATGTCTTCTTCCGAATTTTCGTCGTCTGGATGGTGGCCAGCATGTTCAAGCGCCAGCCAGCACAAGAGGGCTCGGACCAAGGAGGAGTCACCACACGCAAGCCTGCCCACAACCTCTTCCCTCCTGGGACGAGGATGGTACGACCTTGGCTTTGGGTTTTGTGAACTGTTGTAATGGGCTACTGGTATCTCAAAATATGAAATTTTTTTGTGATGGACCAAAGGTTTTAACTTTAAAGATTGAAGTTACATTCTTTTGTCATCCTCAACTAGGGTGAAGCGTGATGTATTATAATATGTCTTTCTTTTTTTACTGCAAGGCAGCCAAGGCTGATTTATTTGCAATGAAAGCCAATTATTTATCTGTCTATATATCATGATTTAAGAAGGTTCTATAGAGCAATGCGACTAAGGTTGACAAAAGTATCCTTCGTGCTATACATTGTTCTGTGTATTTCCACAGGATCTACGAGTGTACCTGTCAGAAAGTGAGCACTTCAAGGAGTTTAATGACACGAGTAAGCTGTTCTGGCAGAAGAAGGGACTGACATATGGGGACTGGGACAGCGGGGTCAACAAAGACGGGTCGTTTACATATGAAGCAGAAATCACCACATCAGAGGTGTGCATTTCATACATACACAACACTAGAAAACTGCAGCACAGATGAGTATTGTATAAGGTGTATAGCAGGTTTTTCAGGCATCTTGACACGGAGGCTGATGCCTTATATCCTTGGTGTTTGATGTGAGAAGTGACAGATAGAAGACAAATTCAGACGCCTGCCATTTCTAATTCTGTCAGCATTCAAACTTGCTCTGACAACATTCTAGTACTTGCTCCAAATTTGAATCAGAGACATAGCCTTCATGTTCAAACTTGTTCAAATATTGACAGAAATTAAGTACAAATGTACATCAATATGATAAAAGAAGTACATGTAGTTGTTAGCTAAAGACTGTAGACTTCAACCAGAATAGTAATGCATTTTGTATTTATTTCAGCATATGATGAATAATGGGTCTATGTGGATCCATGTCTTTCTGACCAAGAGTGGCAAGTCACCAGACCCAACTCAGAAGAAACTATATTCAAGAGCAGCTACCATTTACAAGAAGAAGAGTAAGAGATGCATACCTGTACATTCTTATATGCTGCATATTAGTAGTAAGATAACTGCTAACAAATTACAAGGTTAACTAGAAAGGCCAACATTTGCTTCGGAGCAAATGTAGGAATTTCACTCCATACCCTTCCCCAAACAAAAATGAGAGATTCTAAATAAATCATACTGCAATTATACAAGGACAAGCTGTTTGATTCTCGACAGGTATTTACAAAACTGGCACTTGGCAATTATCTCCCTTTTTTTTTACAAAGATACAACGACACGCACTTTAAATCTCGACAGCTTTACTTTACACTTTTGACGAGATTGTAACTACTACTAACGGAAGCAAAATTTTCACGGCCTGAGAAAAATGGACATGTTCACGGAAGTATATATTCACGGTGGTGACAGTTGCAGGAAAAAGAAAGTCCAGGAATTATTTCCTAACTGTAATGATAAGTTCACAATACAGAGGTGACAGTGAAAACCGTGAACATTGACCCCCCGCTTGCGTTGCGGTACAGTGAAAAAAAATCGGGAATTACAGCAATCAATTTACTGAGTATGTTTGCTTAGTTTCCAGATGTTTTGTACTTGTAGTTTTTAAATGAACGAAAACCGATGCGCGCACAGATGTTACTTTTGTGACAACATCAAAGTGATTTTGGTTTGTATGTTGAAAAAATACAAAAGACTAACATTCGAAGTTATTGAAATTCTTGAGTAAGAACAATCAGTTTTGGAATGTTAAAAGCAAAGCAATGGATATTAAAACGAAAATGTTAAAATTAAATGTTGAAATTGTTAAAATGTAAAATGGTTAAAATGGTTAAAATTGTTGAAATTGTTAAAAATGTTAAAATTGTTAAAAATTGTAAAAAGGATAATTAAAAAAAATATCCAGTGTACCGGGGTTCGAACTCGTAATGTCTGGACTTGCAGCCCTGCGCGTTACCAACCGAGCTATCTGGACACGTTTCCATTACTCTCTGCATTGTATGTCATATAAAGTGAACAACATGGCGGTAACGATCGCTTCAAGTACTAGTAAGGGACTTTCTAGGAGATACACTCTACAATTTTGGTGATTCTTCAGAAATCGATAACAGAATATATAATACTAGTCGGTGAAGATTGTGGAAAATTGTTGATACCGTGGCGCGCGCTTGCGCCGACGATACACGTTACCGTTGTTTACAGTACTCGCGGGGCGCAGGTCATTGACCTCCCGCTTGCGTTGTTCCAACAGAGAAGAACAAAATATCTGCCAGTTTTTGCGTCAGATTTTCAGTGTTTGTTAAAATCATATACAGGCATCCATGCAGCTATAATTCTTCCAACTAGTTTGGCCAGTAAAATGAGGGCAAAAATGTCTAAATGTAAATGTAACAGTTATGTCTTACCTGCCTATTTGGCGAGTATCGCCGCTGGAATGTAACCCGAACCTTTTGTTGTATTGTTGATAGCAGTTTCGCCGTAGCGGGCATAAAATATGCATATTAATTAACACAGGGTCTTTTCATGGGAGAAATTGGCTAGCTGGATGAAAATAGCCCTGTAGCTGTAGCTAGATCACGTTTCCACTGCTTTTACAACACTCCTTTTCGCTGGCCAAACTTGTAAACAAACATAAGAATGTGCCTACCAGGCGTAGGTGGTAGAAAATAAATCAATTAGCCATCAGCCAATCAACAGCCAGATCTACAAAAATGGCCACACCTGTTGCATGCTTGCATATGCCCATATTTGGGCCCGCCCCCGAATTCCTTTCTTATTACGTCACGCGCGTACGCCCCACAGTACTTTCCTATGGGAACAGCTAAAAACGCAAATAAAACGATTGTAAAAGCTTGTATCAAAAAAAATAAATAAACGCCTAGGGGTATTTACCCACTCTACCTTTATACGAAATTCCAGGTCGTTTGGCCCAAAAATGAAGGAATTGAATCAATTAAAGAAATGGCAGGAGGAGAAGAAGAAGGAGGAGGAGAATCATCAGTAAAAACAGTATTTCCCTCCATACTAAAGTATGGAGTGAAATAATGATAATAGTTAATGATAATACATGAAAGTCTTTGCACAAGCTTTTTATCAGTGAAGTCTGCTATGGCATACCATGGTCACATTTAATAAAATTTGATAATCAGTGTAGTATGATTCCCTTACTTCTTTTCAACTGAAAATATATGATAGTAGTTTTAGAAACATGTTTTTCTAATATGTCAGGTCCTGTAATTATTTGTTCTTACATCAGTGCTTAACAGGTACAAGAAGAAGAGGTATCTGAAGACACAGAACCTTCTGACTGGGGCAACTGAGCTGACTCTAGAAGACCAAGCGGTAAGTCTTAATTTGTTGTTGCAGCTTGACCATTTTCATTTCTCCATTGTACCTGTTTGTTCTCCACAAATATTAGAGTTTTTGTATCCAGCAATTCAATGTTACGTTTTCTCATTTGCACAGAAAGCTGCTAATTCCACAGTGGAAATCCTGTCCCACTGGCACCCCAACATGACCATAAACCTCATGGATGACCACACACCATGGGTACGGGGGTCAGTGCCTGCACCACTGGATGAGTGTAAGTCATCTGGACCTGACGATTATCAAATAATGGTTAAGAGAGTATTCCATTAAATAGCTTACATATATGATTTGTATAACATACCCTGTGGATATCTGTACATTATTCCATCTTTTTAGTGTATTGGTGACTATAAGTATAATAAGGACAAAGATGCTCATTTCTGAGGTATTCATTACTTCATCCTGGTCCTCTGAATCTGATGATTCTACTCTCTTTGTATGTTTAGTCATAGACTTTGAGCCGGTGACAGGAGGCTACCTGCCTGTCCTATACTTCAATGACTACTGGAACCTCAACAGGGACTTCCAACCTATCAGTGCTGCCAATGAGTAAGTCTTTATGGTCAAATAACTAAAGCCCAGTTCCTCTTCATATATAGTTTTGATGTCATATGCTAAGCTTGCAATGAAGTTTACATTTTTGAGACTATCCAGAGCAGTGGATAGTTCGAGACTATCCAGAGCAGTGGATAGTTCCTGTTATAGCTTCCACACCGAAGGTCAGTCTTTAATGTTGAATATGATTTCTAACAGAATTGATTGCTTGATTGATTGATTGTTTGACCCAGGACCCTGCTGCTGAGCCTGACCTACAGCCCCATCTCGCTGTTCCGCTGGCAGATGTACGCAGCACAGAACATGCGCTCCAAATGGGCCAATGTGCTCGGGGAGGACGTCATGGAGAATGATGACGATGACGACTCACTCAAGGTACTTAGCTTCTGATCCAAGGCTCTACATGGGTTTCGGAGAATTTTCTTTGAAATTATTGTGAACATGCAAAAGATAACTTTGTCATTGGTTGTAATCTTTATTTCAGTACCAAGGACATAGACCGTGAAGTCTTGGTACTTGGTAGTTTGTGTGTTCTCTTGGGTTTTCAGCTGAGCATGTTGTTATATAGACATGTTTTGTAATTGAAACTTGTTTTGATCTCTTTCAGCAAGCCTTCCTGGAAACAAACCCGTACCTCCTCGGACTGACCATCATAGTGTCCTTGGTCCACAGCGTCTTTGAATTCTTGGCATTTAAGAATGGTAAGTTTTGCTTCCATGCTAAAATTTTCCAGGTTTCAGTTTAGTTATCTACATTCAAGTTAGCTAGAATATGCTGACCTTTGTCTTTTCTAAGTGTAAACAGTATGTTTGTTTCTTTCCCTTCTCTCCAGATATCCAGTTTTGGAACAGCCGTAAGTCTCTGGAGGGTCTATCTGTGCGGTCTGTGTTCTTCAACGTGTTCACGTCCCTGATCGTGGTGCTGTATGTCATGGACAATGAGACCAACTTCGTGGTGCGGATCAGCTGCATGGTTGGGCTGGCCATAGAGATGTGGAAGATCACCAAGGTAGTCACAGTCAAGGTAAGAGGCTTCCAGTGTTCTCTTTAATGTTAATAATCACACTGACTTCTGCATGTGGTGTCATGAGGACAGAAAATTAAAACTAGTCCAGTTTCTGTGACTCATTGAATAATTGGTCCTGACTGGGGCCTGCAAAACAGAGCATAGTCCCCCCCAGCAGGCAAGGTTGAATTGGAGCTGCAGATTTTTGATTGATACCTGTGTACATTCTTTACAAAGTAGGGCTTACCTCGTCAAATCTTACAGTTTAAGTCCTTCTTTTCTGATGAAATCCTACCATTTACCCGCTTCTTTCTTTTCTTTTCTAACAGCTTGACAGAGAGGCCCCAATATTAGGAGTCATACCTCGTGTCAGATTGGAGGACAAGAGCACCTATGTGGAGTCATCCACCAAGCAGTATGATCAGGTAAGTCTGATAACATTAACACTATAAACCTCCACTGATGAAGCAGGATTGACTACACAACTAAAATCCTATTTATGTATTGGCTATCTTTGATGAACGTTTACATTTGTTGTTGATTACTTTATGTTTGAACTTGTTGAATCACCAATATTCTTTTCTTGCCCTCTTGACAGCTGGCTTTCAAGTATTTAGGAATAGCGTTGTTTCCACTGCTGGGGTGCTATGCTGTGTACTCTCTCATGTACAACGAGCACAAGGGCTGGTATTCTTATGTCCTGAACATGATCTATGGATTCTTACTAATGTTCGGTAAGTTTTTTACTTTTTAAGTTTTTTAAAATGTTTAAAGTCCAATTGTAACTTTACTTTTACTTTTCAATTGTTTTAAGTCCAATTGTAACAGCCTCATGTATTTTTCTCTTAAGTAGACATAAAAATGCAGTTATGTCTTTGTTTTGACTGAACAAATTGTCGTGACATTACCCATTGGGCATACAATTGCATGCAGTATGACTGATAGGGAAGTGTAAAAACTATGTAGTCACTGGTTACAGAGTAACACATCATTAACCTGTTGCCTGGCCCCCCTACTGTCAGGTTTTATCATGATGACACCACAGCTGTTCATCAACTACAAGCTGAAGTCAGTGGCACACCTCCCCTGGCGCATGCTGACCTACAAGGCTCTCAACACCTTCATCGACGACCTGTTTGCATTTGTTATCCAGATGCCAATGATGTATCGCATAGGCTGCTTCCGAGATGGTGTGTCTTCAGTGTTGTTTGATTTTAGGAAAGTTTTGTAACTTTAAAGCCCACTATGGCATTTGAGTTAAGTACATTTGTATTGATAAGTGTATAGATGATATTTTGATGTACAACTAAATTATGAGATGATTTTGACTGCCTGGTGAATGTATAGTGTTGGTCTGCAGTCTTCTCTTCTTCCTAAAAAGGTATTGTTGTGTAAAAGTGGACAATTGACAAACAATTCCATGTTCTTCACCGCAGACATAGTCTTCTTCATCTACCTATACCAACGGTACATCTACCGTGTGGACCCCAAACGTGTGAACGAGTTTGGTACGACCGGGGAGGATCATGATGTACAACCCAACGGCAGTATAGGGGCAACACCAACGGAGGGAGAGCAGCCAGCTGTCCAGGACAAGCCTGCTGAGGAGAAGAAAAAAGACTAAAGATGGACTCTAAGATTCTAGTGAAATTTTTTTCCAGGCCATGTCTGGTATTGCATTACATGTAGATGCTGTTCTTTGGAAGCAGGGGCCATTCTACTCTAGATGATATGATGTAGTGTTGTTAGGCATTTTGTCAGCAATGTAAGTTTTGTCAGATACATGTGACGCATAGTACATATATGTCACGACACAAGTAGTTTTAGAATTTAAGAAGAAAAAGAAGATATTTAATGTAACTCCTGCAACTGTCATAGCTATTCATTCCCTGTCTGCACCTGGTGTGGTTGTTGAAAAGGTGAATTTGGTCCAGTTGTGCTACACACACATATATGTGCATAGATATGGCACCAGTCTTGTGTTCTTTAGGTAGGATCTGTGCATTACTAGCACAAGTTGGGCTGCAGGCAAGAGTGATGTGTTTCCCTTGAATAAAGTACACGGTCTTTGCAGTGTTGAATAACTAGTCATTACCTGTATTCTCTGAGGGTCTCCCTGAAATCCAGCAGCATCTTCCTTTGCAGTGTTTCTAAAATACATGGAGAGGATCACTGTATGTGGTTTGCTGGCTTAGCCTGGAATATAAAGATGTTAGCTAAATATGTTCTAGTCAGAATTTTATCTGTTAGAAGCAGACTAAAGCTAGCAAACAGGATTCCAGGCTGTTAAGATGTATGCATTCCAATTACTAGTACTACATTTATTACGTTCTTGTGAAGAGTGCGGTTTCCCACTAAGGCTGTTGGATCATGACCATTTGGAACTTACATGGATACAAAAAGTATTGGAATGATGGTTTCAATTTTAATCTCTACTTTGCTTTCATTTCTCTGCTGAAGAATAGCTCTAGTTTGACTATGGAGAAAATCAAGTTTTCACATTTAATTGAAATACATGCCTTATTACATATTTATGTTTTGATCTATGGTTTGATATTTTCTAGCCATAACTCTTTCCTCGCTCTCTACAATAGCTATAGCAGACTCCAGAATCTGTGGAAAACATCTTCTCTTTCATCCCTGATCACTGTAGATCTTCCATGTTCCCTGTGAGAGCTAGTAGTTACTGTGTATCCCTACCTCTGGCCATGTCATTTGAGATTTCTTGTGCCGTATTTTAATGCTATTAGTTTAAACAGGAACAAGTGTTGTTTTTACTAGTTTCATGTATAAATGAGGAGATAACAGTTGTCTTCTTTTTTGTGGTACAGACAAAATGTCCGTGTTGATATGTTATAAGTTACCACAGTGAACGCTGCAAGTTAAGAGTAGTGCAGCATTATCCTAGCACTATCCTAGCTCAATAAAAGGTAAAACTAAATAGAAAAAAGTTTTGCTGTTTTAGGCCAATGATCATTATCTTGCTGTTGTAATTTATAAGGTCTGTAATTTATAATGTCTGGAATGGTCTTTGAGTATTTTATCAGGATCTACAACAGAATAAACCACACTACTGTTTTAATGTTGATTAAAATCTCTACTAATTGACTGTTACTATGAGTATAAAAAAATCAATGCTCCCAACCCATGTTGGTTACTTTGTGACAACTCGTTTTAAATGCCAGTCATGTGTCTGCAAAGAATTATAATTGCATAGAAGTGCCACGACAGTGGCTGTATGTGCACCGCAGAATGGTTTATTGACAGTATGACAGAAAGACCAACACCTATTACTCCAGGAATGCTATAACAGTTACAACTGTGACACAGAGTGAACCACAAGTAGTAGTACCATGGAGAAGTTACAAAAGCTATGTAAACCGGTGCTAATTGTTGTACATGTATATACGTGACACAGAAGCGTTTGCCTGTAGTCAGGACAATGTAAACATTGGCAATTTATTACTATGAACAACGACTCCAAATAAGCAGACACACATCCGGTACTATTACAGGTAGTTGCGATTGACTACTTAAGATAATTATTGAACTTCATTGATATACGAAGTCTTTGAGTTAATTGCATTTTTCCGCGGAGAGCATCATCAATGCAATTGACAAGGATGAGGAGAAAACTACAGATTGAAACACAGCACGACCCTCATGCAAAATGTATGTATGACATGTTTGATTGACAGCTGATGTCAGGCTGACTTTCCGCCTCAGTTAGACAGGAGGAGGGCCATCAGTGCCGGCATCACGACAGTCATCAGCGCCGCTGCCAGGCTGGCTGCTCCGCCCGCTGGAAAGGCAAGTGCACACTGTTTTTACAATGTATGGCACAACATGCAACCGGTTCGAACCAAAAATGTTCCACTAATCAAGGAGGCTAACCTTGACTTATGCTTTATATGTCACGTTTCCAAACCGGGGCCCGACCGGGCTGTTTGCATGAACGAAAAACTAACAATTCATTATATCAAGAATATACAGAAATAGTGCCCCCTTAGGACCCCCTTTATGTCTTTAGATACTGCAATCGTTTGCCGCGTAGGCTGCAATCACAGTAATTTATTTAGCTGAACTAAAATACCGATCCCGTTATGATTACCTGGTGCATTTGTGGGCGTCGCCATGGTGTTGTTCATGGTGCCGGTGGGGCTCATGGCTGCTGGAAACGGCAAAAAAGTATTCAAGATGTAAACATTTGACAAGTATGTCAAGATACGCTCGTATCGACGGTTAAAAGGCTCCTTATCTTTATCGGTATAAATAAAATGCGTTCTATATATAAATGCAAAAGAACCTGCCTGCCAGCTCCGGACACTTTTTGGCGAAGTGAATCGACATGAAACAAACTTTCTCAGTAGGCTTATAAATGACCACACAAAGACGCGGACTTTCGCAAGAACTATATATGATATCGAACTGCCGAGGCCTGCAGGCAACACCTGTATTTGAGTATAAACGGCATCGTACTCACTTGTTTGCGCTCCTACTTCAACTGCGCATTGGGCCAGGAATACAGCAAACACTACAGCAACGAGGAAAGCCTGCAAGAATATTCATAGTTTAGTCCAACGAACTGCAGAATAAAATTAGAGGATTGACGTATATTGTACATGGTATTGTGTATATTGCAATGCAGATGTTATAATCTCGTAAGTTTCTTCAACTTATCGGAGAAGACTATGGTGGCCCTGTGTGCTTGACTAAAGGCGCATAGCACGCATAGCACTATCAGCTATCGAGAAGGCATTGTACTTCATTTGTTTTGTTCTATCTATCCATCTGTTGTACTTCAGTTATGTTTTCCCCGGGCGCCTCAAGCATTACGCTTAGAGCTGGACCTCCTCACGGTGTTACAGGTCCCAACTCCCGGCGTGACAAATTCTCCGAATGAAGATTTCCCCGGTTTAGTTAGTGTCAGTTTCAGTCAATATCCGGTAGCCTGACCCAGAACAGTCTGCATGGTCAACTCTCGTGTCCGCAAACATTGCACGACTTTTGTCTCTCACTGTCGGCACTACACTGAACCACATGTCAGAGACAGGCTCACCTAATTAGAAAACAAGAGGCCAGACTTCTTGATGGCAAACGTCTTCCTGATACCTCTGTAAATACTGTTAAACAAGCTGGGCGATCCAAGAGAGCTTTGAGGCTGTGCGTCAAGTGAGGTGAGGACCACCCATTCAGAGACAAATACATGTTTAAGTAAATTGAAAGCAAAGAGAGCCAACGCAGACTGAAATTCAATATGCTAAGCTGGTGATACGCGGGAGTATGGTATAGTATGAATGGAAGGTACGTGAGATACTACGTCTAATGTATGTGATTCATAAAAACTTCTAGATCACTCACATCAGTATACGTTTTGCCCTTAGACGAGTCGCAAGCTGTTGAAGTGCCCAGATTAAAGGCTCTTTTAGGTAAGACGGAAAACCAGGTGAAACAACAAATCAGATCCCTCTTTCAATATGTGGCTTTCCAAACATTCTTTTGTTTCATTCAGATTAGGTAAAAAGGATTTCATGGACACAAAAGTGTTTTCCGGATTTCCCGATAAAATAGCGTGTGAGCTTTCAGTGCGGCGAAACCCGATGCTAACAATAACAACTTGAGGAGAGACTGTCAACCTTTTCTGGTTACCTGAGGCAGACGGCACCAGACCAAAGGAGCCTTTTTAGGCATGGCATCTCACTGTGTAAACGAAAGGTCTCGAAGGACACGTGTTGACGTCAACCTACAACTTCGTTAAGGGGCAGTGGTAGATCCGGCTCGGGCTTACAAATAACTCGTTTCCCGCAAACCTTGCCAAATTCTACCTAAAGCGGTATTCGTCTGCTTCGTTAAGCAGGAGTGTATATAAAGCCACGGGTACTTGTGACTATAGTCTGCCATATTCCGATGTGTTTAGAATGAAACAAGTTTCGAGTTACACATTTTTTCCAGCAGGTGTTCTGAGACACCGCCCTGCGCGGCAAGCCCGCCAAGCTACATGTACACCGGCCTACTACGTTCTTTCTATCTATTATCATGGCCAGTGTGTATTCTTCCACATTGTGGCTTTTAGTTTTATTTCCACCGGTTAACAACTTGTGTATTCAATACTGCTACCGGCACAGACAGTCCCGCCCTGCGACTACTAGATGGACTGAGGCCACGTGTTCAAATAACGCCAAATTAAGTTCCAGTGGAAATACAGCTAAAACCGATAAAAACAGCCCTGCAAACAGGATAGCACAATTTTTCTCAAGGATTTGTGGACTATTGTAGTAAACTACAAGATAACAGAACGGAAGCCCAGATAAACCCGACACTCTTTTTTGTCTCCCGGCTGAAACGCTAGCAGTCCCCGCGTGAAACGTTAACCTGCATCGACCAGAAAGAAGCTTCTAACTTCTCTAAGAGAACAGCACAATGCTCAGGCAAATCATCTCATCATGACATTCTCTCTCTGTTTAAACATGTTTCACTCACCTTGGCGAACATCTTTAAAACTTGTTCTTAGGAAGCTGCGACAGGGTGAGAAAAGGGCGCGCGCTTGTCCGACCGACGTTACACAGACGAATGACCGTTACAACACAGGGGGGTTCTGGGATTTCTGTCTGTCCTGATTACACATGCCGACTGTAACTCTACACCGAGGTAGCGGTAGAAGTTTGTTTACTGACGTCATGATCAAACGTACAATGGGCACCTCAGAGCTTCCTGTAATCGGAACTTAGGATTGACGAGGTCCATTTCAGTTTAGGACTAAATGATTATACAATGTGGTGGATTCTTGCCAGATACAAGTTTGACCATCTTCACTTTTTGGACCTATCGCTTAGACATGTCCAGCTTTCTCAAAAGCAATTTCGCTTGCTTTCTTTTCGCGTAATTGATTATCGCTTAAGTCAAGTGGCCTTTTCCCATTACTTCCCTGGTCACAGTAAGAGAGAAGTGAAACGGATGCTAGACTTAATTAAAGATTTCGCGGCAAAATTGGCACGACATACCCATAACTCGGAGGGATTATGGTCACCTAGGACGCTACAAGAAATGTAATCTCATCAAAGTGCTTAATGTGGGGAACTGCGTCGAGTGAGGAGCAAAATAGAAAAGTGAGATCTGGCAGCTGTTATCGTAATTTTATTACCGGTATTATCATTTACAAACTTCAACGGAATGATACAAACAAGCGTCTTTGATCTTTGATAAAATCTTATAGAGAACCATTTATAATATGAGAACAAAATTGTCTAATTAGTCAACATTTCTGTACATTCTCTTACACTCTTGAACTGTAGTTTCTTGTAGCACTTCTATTTTGCTTGTACCAGTACAAAATCAATTTTGGACATGATTAAAACATTCTGTTGCTTGTGCCCATTATGGCCAGTACACTGCCTCATGATGATGACTTCCTTCCTTCCCCAAAAGTATTTCTTATCTTTAGTCCTCACTATCCAAAACCTTTCTTACATTCCACAACATTGCATAGAAACCACTGAAATGTTCCACTTTATTGCAGTCTTTATTGCAACTTAAGTCAGACACAGGAATTGTTACAAGCGAGAGTGAGGGTCTAGTCAGGGTTTCACAGCTGCCTTGACAGACTCCGGCATCCTGCTCAGGTACCAGTCATGGTCGCTGTACGTGGCCAGGACGCCTCCCGTGTTGGGGTGCTTCACATCCCGGTGGTACTGCAGGGCGTTCCCGTGGATGTCGGTCAGCCTGCCGCCCAGGGCGTGAAGGATGGCTTCAGGTGCGCAGGTGTCCCACTTCTTACAGCCAGGTGTGGCAAACACGTATGCATGAGCCTTCCCTTCAATAACCAGCAGCACCTGTAAGTGAGGAGGACAGAATCTTGATATACGTATATACATGCTATCCAGATCTTTTGCTCAAAGGAATTTCATACAAAGCTGTTACATTTAAATGAATACCAGTACCATGTAGTTCCTTACAGCCAGATTGACAAGTGAGAAAACAATCGGCCATATTGTCTCCCTACCTTGTGCCCAGCTCCCCCCACCCTGAGGACTTCATCAGGCTGCATGGCCTCAATGGATTCTGTCACCAGCTTATTGGAGTGGGATCTAAAACACAGGCGGTGCATCCATGTAATGAGATGATGATACAGCTATATGTAGGTGAGCCAAACACAGGTGGTTTGCTGCCATACTAAATCAAAGATACCAAGTGACCAAACAAAAAGCCCAGAGAGCATGCAATGCACAAAAAGAACTTATAACACTGTCTTTATAGCCTCTATGGTTTTATCTAGCCAGATTGTGCTTTGAGTTTGAGAAAAGGAATCTCAACAACAGTAACACAAATGTTTTTTTGACCACAGGTTAGACAACAGTGTACCTGGTAGTGGTAACAATTCGTTTATCAGCTGGGGGAACCAGGCGTTCCACACCGAATGCTCCAAGTCCAACAATTCCCCACATGGTCCGCCCAAGAGTTGCCCCTGGGCCAGCCTTGTAGTTGTAATAAGGCTGGTTGATCACTCCTGCAACTGCCTTCCCATTCACAGCCACACCTATCAACACTGTGACATGGTCCAGGAAACCTAGTACAGAAGAAAAAAGTTATCATTGATGTTGAGTCTTTTTCTTCTTGATTTTTGCCTTGTTACATGGTGTAAAATATGTGATGGCTACTTAATATATGTAACGTTACTAGTACTATACTATAACTAGAAATGTAACATTTGCAAAGGAAATGCATCATGTTTACCTTCGCACATGGTCTGCTCTGTCAGTTCTTACTCAAATACAGTCATATATATGGTGAGACAGAAGTCTAAACTATATGATTGCAACATGATGTAACCCAACACCAGTTACCATGGTGACAGACATCAACATATCAAGCCATTGGCCAGGTCAGAGGTTAGTGTGTGGAGAAGAAGAAGAGGAAGAGGAAACGTAGCCTGGTTACCAAACCTATTATAGCTCCCGAGTCCTACATCCTCTCCGCAAATATTTGCGGAGAGGATGTAGGACTCGGGAGCTATAATAGGTTTGGTAACCAGGCTAGAGGAAACGTAGCAAAAACAATATGTTTTCCTTCGGTAAACATAAATACATATACTATAAAGTGGCAATAGACGAATAATACAGTAGTTGCTGATAACCAAGCACCCTTTAAAACAGAACTTAAAAAGTATTCACCTTCTGTGTATTCCTTAGTTCCATCCAGAGGGTCAACCCATACAACCACCTGTGAACGACATTGCAATGAAACAAACTGGTGAACACAATACACCACCTCATCTCCACACAGAGAAAATGCTGCCTAAAAATTTCAGCCTCAAGACCAAAAGATAGCTGGTTAAAGGAAATACTGGGCAATGGGTGACTGCAGATTTCTTCTATCCATACTTACATCTTCATCCTTCACAGACTGAAGGTTCTGAGGACAAACTACTTTCAACACCTCCTCTGACAACCTAGTCTCCAGGTGTGACTCGTCAACTGTCTCTCCTGTTGGTTCCTTAACAGAAGAATGAAAATTTAAGATAGTCGAGTAATGAGGGGAAATAAGACAAAAGTTGTATAGCCCAGAGATGATAAAAAACAATAAGTAACATAATTAACAATACCTTGAGTGAAGCTCAGTTATGTTTCTCCTCACAATACCTTGTCAAACTGATAATGCTTAACTACTTTTACTTACAATGTTTCTTAAAAATTTGTTTTTGATGCTATATGACTAAGTTGCAATGGTGTGAAATGTGGAGCAAAAACTGCAGAAATGAAAGAAACCATTTTCTGCATCTCACCTCCTCCCCTATGATGGTGACTTTTGGAAACTGTCTGGACAATGACTGGACGATGCACTCCTGAGCTGACCGGTCAGCCTGAGTCTGCAGGTCATTCTTTCCATCCTGATGAGAGCAAGAGACATTATAATGAGGAAAAATTCTGCAGCCAAGCTAAAGTACTAGTATTTTAGTGAAGTTTACTAAAATCACTGAATTCCAACATCCAGTACCGATTGGACAGGAGAGGGGCTTTAATAGCATGTGTCAATCATTATAAAGCAAATTCCTAGCAGGGTACTTCATTGTATTAGCTTGTGAGATGACATGCAAAATGCATTATGTATTGCTGGAAGTGCAAGTCATCATGTCAGTGCAAGTAAAACTTAAACTGTTTAATAATACCAGGGGCATAGTCCAACTTCCCTCTTTACACAAATTGTCAATTTGGAATTAGCGAGGCGAAATTGCACGGTCATGGTGACATGAATTATGCAGAGCAGCCATAATGTAACATAAGTAATTAAAACATATTCGATTAATTAGTATAAACGTTATAATTTAATTACTAACGGTTAACATCTGTGTCCATTATATCAGCATATAGTCCATAATATCACCACCTTGAGAAAAAGTATGCTTAAAGATATTTTTACTGCAACATACCCTAGGTATGTACATTTGAGATGTGCAGGAGTGCATACTAAAAGTATGTTGCAGTAAAAATGTTTTTCTCAAGGTGGCGATATTATAGACCCTGGTGATATTATGGACACGGATGTTAGTATCTGCTTCTGACTTCTGTGATTATTTTGTTCAGACATTTAGACTATCTTCAACTTTTATCTTCAATGAAATATAATCAGTTTTTCCCGGCTTGATGTTGATAGTCAAAACTCAAAATATTTCAAAGATCAACTGCGGAAAAGTTTTTATCTGGGTCTATAATAAAACGATAAACTGAAGACCTTTTCTACCACCCCCAGCTCTCCGCTGTTGAACACGTTCCTGACGATCGCCCCTGCCTTTTCCGCTACCGAGACTGACGCGGCCACCAGACGGAGCACTAGAGGAGCACCTGTGTTACCTGCCATCGCTACGCTGTGCAGAAGTAATCTGGGCAAATTAAACATTTCCACATGTGAACACCGGTAGTCTGCAGTGTCCGTATGGTCACAAATTTAGAGTGCCTACTAGGAGGTATGATGTGCAATGATCACTATCATGAAATTAGAAACACTCACCGGCAATGAAGGCGCATAACCTTTATAAACCTTTTAACGTAGTAAGTTGTTAATATAGTAAAATAGATACAAAAGTAAACTCAAATAATATGTCATTTTACTGTTAAAATGGGGCAGTTAGCTAATCTTTGTGCCTCTGTGGTAACGCAGTCATACCTCCTAACAAGTCTGCTCTCAACTTTGACCTGACGTGGAGTGGCTCCGTCGTTTTACGACAAAAATATAAATTTTACGACATGTTCTAGTGCGCATGTACACAATCTGTTCACTCAAAAAGTTTGCAGACGTGAAAGTGGTGGGGAGGGTGACAAGTAGATGTTGGTAGATCATTGATGTTTTTAACTTAATTACTCCGAAATGTGGTCATTCTTCTCTAGAGATCCCACAGCTAACTTCGCGTTTGAGATCGGAGATGTGGTGACGGGGCTGGAGGAGAAGTCTATCTGGACTTTGCACAAGGGAAAACGGAAGGTAGGTTGACGTTCTGTCTTTCCTCAGCTGCCTTGATGTTGCCGACGTGGCTGGATATGTTGTACCTTAGTTGTTGTATCTGGTACAAAATTAGTGTTTTTGCTTTGTAAAAGTTCAAACTGAACGTAGATCAGCCACTTGCACTTTAATATATTCTTGTTATCAACCTAAAATTATTTTCGCATCAGAGCAAACTTTATCAGACATCTATCATAAGACAGTAGCCTGGGTACCATCCCCAGTAGTATATTCGCAAACTCTATAACTGTTATAGAGTTTGCGAATATACTACTGGGGATGGTACCCAGGCTAATAAGACAGTGGCAGCTAAGAAGGAATGTATTTTTATTATCCTGTTTCTAGATATTAAAGCTGATATATTTTGTTTATACAGGCCAATGGAGAACCAGTTTCTGTGTTCGTGTTTGACATTAAGGACTATAATGAGACTCAGGTGAGATTTGGGAGACAGAATTTGTATTAGTATCATTTGAAAGATGTAGTTTTAAGTTACACCCATAGGACCAAGACATAACACAGGAACTGAAAGTTGAACTAATCCAGTATGTGTAGTGTGTACTTATAATGTTTTTGTCACTTTTGGATATAACATAGTTTGTTTTACTTCCAGATGCAGACGGCCAAAAATTCCCTGAAAAGACTCAAAACACTTCGTCATCCCAATGTTGTTACCTACATCGACAGCTTAGAGGCAAGTCAAGTTATCTTCTTAAAAAGACACTTTCACTTTCAGCAATAGTGTTTTTGGAACCTTTTTTGAATACTATTATCTAAGTACTATATTGTATATTAACAAGAATGTTACCTTGTACTTTCCCCTCTACAGACAGACAAGACAGTGTATGTAGTAACTGAACCAGTGGTTCCCTTGGTAACATATATAGCAGAGCAAAAACCCAACGAACTGGTCATCTCCTGGGGCCTGCACCAGATAGTGGTAAGTTCTATGCTTTAAATCTTAGCATACAATGATCAAATATCAGTGTGATAAATTACAAAGGCAAAGATAGCAACATATTGAACTGAATGATAGTATCAAAGTTCAAGGAGATTTTTGTGAACTTTAGTATTTGATTGTAAAGATAGTAAAGAATTGCAAAAGAAGGATTATCTGAGTACACCTAGTTGACATTTAACTTTATCAGTAGAGCCATAACTGGTATGCAGTATGATATTGTTATGTAGGAATACTGAAATCCTTTTGTGATTTTGACCTTTGCGTATTCTCCTCTATCTTGTGTATCTCAAGCTAAGCCTTTTTCCTCTCCCCATCCAGAAAGCGTTGAGCTTCTTTGTGAACGATGTGAATCTGATCCACAACAACGTGTGCAGTGCCTCGGTGTTTGTGGACCCTGCCGGGGAATGGAAGCTGGGTGGGGTGGACTACATGTACCCAGCCACGGGGGAGGGCAGCATCCCTCCTGTCAAGATCCTCCCCGCGCTGGAGAGGTACGACCCACCAGAGAAGAACGACCTGAGCAGAGGGAGGAAGGCAGAGAAATGGTCAGTGAGAGATGTCTTCATTGGGAATTATTCACTGTTATATCATTACATTGTACAGTCAGCTGTACTAGAGTAAGTGATCATACTGTACTGTACATCTGTATAAGTACTGTCTAGCCATTGTGGTCTCCGTTGGGTGGTCCCCAGGATGCTCTTTGAATAAGACCCATTATACAAAACCCATTATTATTTTTCTCTTCATGCCAAGCAGTGATTGACTATCTGTCTATTGTGACCACTTTCTTTCAAGTTCCATGAGAGGTCTCTTTATTCTAGGTTGCATGTACATATGTTCTGATAACTGCTGTTCTGGACTAAATGTCTTCTGTATGTTGTGTGTTTGTATCTGATGTGGACATTTCCAATGGACAGGTCCTCTGACATGTGGGGTCTGGGCTGTTTGATCTGGGAAGTCTTCAATGGACCCTTGCCCAGAACATCAGCACTTAAAGCACTGGGGAAGGTGGGTCAGCTGTAATGTGCAGGTTATTTGATGATTGTGTATATAAAGGTAGTTTGATGACCTTGTGTAGTATGTACAGGTGACGTTTGTTAACTTTAGTCATGAGCATGATAATTGCATACTAAGTAATGATTGATCATGATTAAAATGATGATGTGCCTATGTTGTTTTCTAGGAACTAAAGAATTGCTTCTTCCTTGTATTACTTCCTACTCACACCTATAACCATGCTACTCACAACTACAACCAGTATTACCTACTACCGGCATCCCAAATCACCTTCTTCATTACTGCACTTCTCTCTTGCCTTTATGGAACATAACCTTTTCTACTAATCCAAATGCATGGTGATCAATGGAAAATCCATAGTGTATGGCAATTTGATTTTATAGAAATGGTTCTGACACTGTGAAAATAGCACCAAGGACAGCACCAAACTTGTCACATAATCCAGTGTTCATACACACTTTCTCTCTTTAAATTAAATTATTAAATTAAATTATATGAACGAAGTGTGTAAAGACCTACATCGACAAAATATACCTTGGGTATGGGTACCATCCTAGTATTTGTAGCTGAAGAGCACAGTACCACTAGGTTAAGGAGATACATGTACCTCCAAATCATAAAGATATTATATTGTACAATTTTGCCCCAAATTGCTAAATGTTTTATCATACAAATCAGTCATCAACTTGACTCCAGTTTGACAGGTTGGATGTTACAAATTTGGGCATTTGTTGATCCTTTGATACAAATTTTAAAAAAAATGAAGATCAAGCACAAACAGTAAATTCCCAATCACCATGCAGTGACTAACATAGCTCTTTTTTACTACTTCATACCTCTTGTTCTTCCCTACACTTCTTCTTAGGTTGGACTTGATGGAGAAAGTCAAGAAGGGGTGATTGTATTATCTTTCTTTATCATGCAGTTTTCTGTATGTTTTTGGTGCTTATTGATTTATTATGTCGTGCAGAAATGATTCTGAAACAGCTCGTTTTAGAACAGTTATTTTGGTTCTACAGATTCCAAAGTCCCTGGTGCCCAACTACTGTGAGTTAGTCGGTGCCAACCCCAAAGTTCGTCCCAACCCTGCCAACTTCATCCAGTCCTGCAGGAAGACAGGAGGCTTCATGAAGAACAGTTTTGTGGATACAAACCTGTTCCTAGAGGAACAGCAGGTACAAACATATAATCTAGTATCAGTGCCAGCAGCATAAATCTATCATAAGTCACACTTTTAGAGAAACGCAAGATGCTCTTTCATGTCCAGAGCTTATATGGCAGGCTCTTTATTTGAAATACTGCTGATGTTGTAGTCGTCCATTAGGAAAGTAAACACTGTATCAAACTTACATATATCAAAGTGTCCCCACAAACACATCTGCTTATTGTCCCTTTCCCAGATCAAGGATCAGAACGAGAAGACAAAGTTCTTCAGTGAGCTGACCCCCAAGCTGGATGACTTCCCAGACAACTTCTGTAAACACAAGATCCTGCCACAGCTACTAAATGCCTATGAGTTTGGCAATGCTGGCTCTTCTGTGCTGGCACCTTTATTCAAGGTAAGGAAGTACAGCATCCTAATATGGTTTGATTCATACTTTACTTCTGTTAAAGATTAAACTGTAACATTTGTTTGTTCAAGACTTATGGTCAGCTAATGACTGTGAACATTTAAATAATTCAGTAGTGACTAACACAGGATTATTCCACAGCTTGGCAGACTCCTTGATCAAGAAGACTACCAGAAGAAAATAGTCCCATGTGTGGTGAAGCTATTCTCATCTACTGACAGGTCAACAAGAATCAAACTTCTAATGCAGGTAATATGTCTTGTATTCTTCTTTTTCTTTGGTTGCACTTTGATTTTCAGATGGAAGGTTAAATAGTCTGTCCATCCTGAGTTGAAAGGGAGGAAGGACGGGTGCTGTAGAGAGCCTGGTCCTTAATAGTGTTTCATGACTTCTTATGTTTGAATATATGTGTTTCAGATGGACTTGTTCATCGAGCACCTGCAACCAGCTACAATCAATGACCAGATCTTCCCTCAGATTGTTCATGGCTTCATGGACACCAACCCTGCCATCAGGGAACAAACTGTCAAGGTAATTTGACTTCGTCATCATCATCATTGTGGTCGCTGCATCTCTGTATAGCTACATGTACTAAACAGGCTGTCATTGTCATCCATTGCCTCTTATCCCTTGCTGTGCCCCTCCCATCCACAACACATCTCTTCAGGTAAGTTGAATTACCTGGAAAAGAAAATCATAAACGTTAAGGCAAAATATGATACTATAGGATTGTCAAAACCTCTCTGGGAGGTGTGTGCTTTAGTAAGAAATTGTGTATTTTCTGTTTTTTCCTGACTGTGTTAGGGTACTAGTAATTCATATGTTGTTGTTTTGCCTGTAGGCTATGCTGCTGATGGCTCCCAAGTTGAACGACAAGAACCTGAACACAGAACTGATGAAGCATTTTGCCAGACTCCAGTCCAAGGATGATCAGGGTGGCATCAGAACCAACACCACTGTGTGTCTGGGGAAGATAGCTTGTCATCTCAATCCACAGGTAGGGAAAAAAAGGGCGCAAGAAAACATTAAAATTGATTGACAGATTTGCTGTGTGCACCTGTGTATTAGGCTTACAATGTAATCTAATGGTCAACTTCTGGTATTCACTTATTGCATTTCTCTGTATTTTAGTGATTGGAAAATTTCAGGTAAAGATGTTGATTGTTTAAACCAAGTCATTCATTTGACAGTCATTCACACAACCTGTCTTCCAAGATGAAATGGAATTTAAAAACATGTAATGTAAAAACAATAGTTGAAAGTCCAATGTCCTTGTTCATTTTGTGTCCAGATCAGACAGAAGGTTCTTGGCTCAGCGTTCACCCGAGCCATGAAGGACCCGTTCCCCCCGGCCAGGATGGCAGGTGTGATGGCCATGGCTGCCAACCAGAAGTATTTCCCTCTGAAGGACGCTGCCACCAAGGCCCTGCCCACACTCTGTCTGCTCACTGTGGACCCAGAGAAGGGGGTCAGGGACCAGGTATGCTATTTATACCTGAGAAGTCACACTTCTTTTTCTCCTATATTCATCTTGCTGACTTGCAGCATCGGACTAGGAAGTACTGTCATTTAAAAAAATCTTATGTATGTCACAATTTACTTTCATGGTGGATTTTTAATCGGTGATGTCATTTGTTGACCTTTGATATTGTTGTTTCTTCTCTTACATTTTGTAGGCCTTTAAAGCCATCAGATGTTTTGTCGACAGCTTGGAAAAAGTATCAGAAGATCCAGAAATGTTGGCAAAATTAGGTGGGTATGTTCTTTTTTTGTGGACAGTAGATGAATTACCAGATACGTGTACTTTATGAAAGGGGATGTATCAGATATCACTTTTTTGTCATATCATATTAAGATGCTACAACTACAGAAATCTATGTAACAGTGTTGATCAAGCATTGACAACAAGCTACAACAGCAAAGCAATCTTTGACAATTTGTTTACCTTGTCATAAATCACTCTTACTGCTTCAACGATATACTTGTATGTGTCAAAAGAAAAACAAAGCAATGCTTGTTTCCTGGTACAGAGAGTGAAGTGAACAGCCCAGGTACCACAGACAGCAGTGCGAGTGGCTGGACAGGCTGGGCTGTCGGTGGAGTCAGCTCACTCACATCTAAACTGTACAGGGGAGGCAACAAACCAGCTCCAACAGCACAGGGCACTCAGCAACCACCTGGTGAGAATCACATCAACTTTTGTGCTATCATTGTCATTACTTAAGTATATTGCTTTCAGATTGCTGATAGAAAGCTGGTGTGTTACGCGGAAAGGTGGTTATACCGGCTATACAGATACAGATACATGCAATATATGATTTGAATGGCCTTTGTTATAACCTGTACTTTGATAGCTAAAACATCACTTTGAGATAAGGAGATCTTTATGTCAATATTGCTTAACAGTATTTTGAGAGTAGTCTTGAAAATTTTTCCTGTCTTAACAATTCAGTTCTTCAAGAAACAGCTGGATTTTAAGGAAGGCAATACATAGTCCTGTTGTTCCCCATGAACTGTAGCAAAGGCTCCCAGTGTAGAGCCAACTCCCAGCCAGCCAGCCAACGCCCCAGCAAGCACCCCACAGGAGCCTGAGGTAGAAGTAGAGGTGGAAGAGAGGGAGTCCCAGGATGAAGGAGGATGGGACAATGATACAGAAGAGTGGGGCAGCATGGAGGTTGGTCTTCTATTCAACGACATTTAACTGGCATTTTCCAACATATTATTACAGACAAAAGGCTACAATAATAGTTTTGTCCTACATTTGTGCATGAAGTTTTCAGAAATACAAATAAACAATTTGCTGTATTTGATCGTCACTGTAACCATTTTCATAGCACTTTACTTCCCTTGGCACCCTGGCAAAACTACAACACCTCGTTAGGGAGCATTCTAGTGCAAGATGCATTTATTCACAGTTTCACATAATGAGTTGAAAACAATATTACAATTAAAAATCTTTCTGCTCTTTGAAAATACAATACTGATAACAAACTGTTGGTTCTTCAGGACTTCTCAGCCCCCAAACCCAGACAGCCTGTCCAGAGATCTCCCCAGCTGTCCAGACCAGGCAGTACTGCTGTGAAAGCAGGACCCCCAAACCCTGAGGATGAGATCTGGGCTGAACTCAAGGGAACAAAACAAGCTCAGGACACCATGGAGGTTGGTGTGGTCATCCTCTTTCAAACAGTTTGATGAATTGTTGAATTACAGAGGTATGTAAGATCCAGAGCTGGAATACGATAGATGTTAATCAGGTATATTAAAAAGAAAATTGGTATATCTTAAAATGATGTTCCATTTCTAGGATGACTTTGGTACAGAGGAGACTGAAGGTTGGGGAGACGAGGATGCTTGGGAGAACTTTGATGTTCCTAAAAAGGTAACTTGAAAGTAATTTTACGTTATTATTGACATGAAGTCATTAATTTATGAGTGATGGTAATTTTTATGTTATTTGAAGCTTAAAAGTACAGAAGCATCTTGAGAGTGAGCCCCATTCTGTTAACATCCTGCTGGATGCCACTTGCATTACTGTGCTCTGACTAACGCCTGCCCCTCCATGGCTCAGTCCTGGGGACATCTTAGCCTTGGTACAGGATCAGGGCAGGTTACAGCCGCTACAGCTGGGTACTTTCTACCCTGGGTCTGGGGACTTTCCACCAAGCAGATGGGAGAAACGTGTTCTCAGTGTGTTGCTCAGAAGCAAGTCTTCATGATGCTTCATGTTTCTAGGCCCTTTGTGCTTTCCTTATAAATGGCCATTTGTATTGTTCGACTATGTTTGTGGGATTGTAAAATGAAGAAAATTACCAAAGTGCCTTGAATACACTCCTAATACCTTGGAATTAACACTACAATCAATCCTCACATTTACAGAAATTATTGCTGATCTTATATGCACTTCTACCAGTGCTGCAGGTACTTTAATATCATAACTTCCTTTGTTACATAAATTATGATAATGAACTACCTCATTAACATAATTACCCACCATTCCCACAGGCATCTGCTCCATCCAATCCACCAAAATTGGTCTCCTCCAATGCTTGGGATAACGAAGACTGGGGAGAGATAGATGACATCACTACATCCTCTGCCTTGCCTCCTGCCAGCTCCTACAACTGGGGGGGCAGTGGTGCGGACGATCCTTTTTCAACCGTAAGTCACGAAACTTAACTATGTGCTTGAATCCCTATTGGAAACAAATTTCGAATATGGTACTTCATTTTCACTATCTTGCCTAATTGATACATTTTTTTTTCACTCAGAGCTCTGATACCAAGTCATCAAAATCCTCCAGTGTTTCTAGAAGTTCTAAAAAACAGGATGATTGGGGTGATGTGGACAATAGCTGGGACTCGTGGGACAGTGCTGGAAGTAGCCAAAGTTAGTATCGCCCGTTATCTGATGCACATGGCTTTATTTTACATGAAAAAAAATTATTGTTCTGATATCTTTAAGATATTTTAGTAGGTTGATTTGTTTTTTTTACCATCATATTAAGCTGTTTTAAATAGCACTTAGGCCACACCAATTTAATTTCTTGGTTAACGGATTCGCCGCTTCATTTTTTTCTAATTTGCAAATAAAAATAAAAATTCAGAATCAACTGCAAAATGCTCATATTTTGCCCTGAACAGTTGAATACAGTCCTTTTTATCCTACTTGTTAAAGTTATTCCATCTTTCAATGCAGTGGTATCATTAAAAGTTCAAAATTCATTGCTTAAATTTTGAACCGGCCTGGTATGTTGACTTCATGGCTCCTATCGTACCATTTTGGGCCATAATAGGATGCCTAGGCCTGTTTTTATTTTTATTATTTTTTCGCCCGCCCGCTCCATTATTTTTCTTGAAAAATCCGTTAATCAAGAAATTAAATTGGTGTGGCCTTAAGTCCATTTAATCAATTCATCAACTGTTGGGATACAAACTGTGTAAAAAAATGGTGCTAAGCTCAGCATTCATTGTGATCAAATCAAATACTACACGTTATTCAGTCCAATATTGCAAAGATTATGACACTGTATAAAACACTACAATATACATGTACTCTGTTTACTATGGTTGTGATATCTTTCTGTCTCAGGTAAAGATGATGCCAGAAGACAGCGGGAAGAGAAGCAGCAGCAGAGACGGCAGGAGATGGAGAGAAAACGTGCCGAGAAGAAGTCTGGGAAAGGAGCCATGAAACTTGGAGCCAAGAAAGTTGCTGTGGATTAAATGTCATTAGGTCATGTGGTATAAACTGGACTGATTAAAAAATGGGGCAGGAGTACATCAAAAGGAATGTTTAAAAAAGTTAGGTTATTGTATACTTTCCATAGATGACACAATTTGATGGTGACTCCCAGATTGTTGGTTTGAAAAGAATTATAACCTCGTAACCTACTGTTGCATTCCACATAAACAGCAATTTGAGGAAACTGACCGAAATGAAGTAGACTAAAACAAAAACATTACAGACTGACATAGTCAACTATAGTGTAAAGTCTGATGTCCTGTACAGTGTGTAGGGTAGAGATATAAGCCATTTTTATTTGTAAACCTCAAAGATTTTAAACATAGGTAGGGATTAATTAATCCATGTAAGAAATAAAAAGTGCTACCATTTTACCCTGTCACTTTATCTTAGAAGTATTCGTGATAAATTATTCCTTTTCCATTACGGCCAGTGCATTATCACAACTTTCCTTGGATCTACGAAGGATGGTCTTCCTGGTTCTGTCATTATATTATTAATTCTAAATGTGCAACGCATTGATATATAGCAGGTTAAAATTAAGTACCATGATGTATGTGTTCTATTGCTGGTACAATAGCACAATGCTATCACAAATGTCTGTCAGGCAACTAATACACTGTGGATACAACTAACATTTCATAGTGGAATGTGAATAGTGTAAGTCTTAAATGCTTTTAATCAATAATAAAGTGATCTGTATATGTAAAGGATTTCCACATTGTTTCTGTGATTGTTTTTGTGAGTCCAAGACACTACACCTGGCAACTCAAAATTTGGAAATCATGAGATACATTTTTCATATTTCAGTACCTTTCCAACAACCATGTTGCAACAGATACTAGTAATGATATGCCTTAGAATGTTAGATGACTTGTAGGTACCAAGTCTCTTACAAGGTTCTCTTTACAACAGCCAGGGTTTGCCCTCTTTCAAGGTACATGTACATGTATTACTGCAATGGCAAACCACAATGAGAATTAAAAGACAAGACCTGTCTTTGTCCAGGCCTAGTGTTCTACATCAGTAACCTGGATTACAACTCTTGGTGCTGGTCACAGAACTGCCTCACTTCCGGCCTGTCCTCTGTCATGATGAAGAGCTGACAAGTATCACCACCTCTGGACTACTTGTTACAACCCTTAGGGGAAAAGAACTTGTTCTGCTCTGCTGTGGTGCACCCTGCTCCTGGCAGGCCACCTGAACCATCAGAAGAAAGCCTGCAACATCACGTCTTACTGTACTGTTGCAGCTCCTCCTTTAGAGCAGCAGCTTGTGATGTCAACTGAGCCGTTCTCTGATTTAACCGTGATAAGACATCTGTGTTAAATAAGAGAGGCATTGAATATAGTCAAAACTCAAAAAGTATAAATGAAGCGGAAGGCATTTTTCCAGGTACTAGTAGTAGGTAGACATGATGATGAAAAGGTGTACTTTCGTACTATGAAGTCTTATTCCTGTACTGACTGTTACAAATATCCATGATGACAAGGATGGAAAATAAAGGGACCTTCAAACAGCTGTGGGCTGTGTTGCAGCAGCTGACAGATTCTGACTGCTTCCTGTTCGGGGGAAGGGCGTGGCTGTCCACTGTCATCAGTGTTCCACTTCTGCTGCAGGTACATGGCCTCAACCTCCTGGTAATGGAAAAAAAAACTCCTTTATTTATAATACCTCCGTAAAATTGAGGTGAAAATTTAGGTAAAACAAGAAATTAAAAAAATCTCCCATTCTTGTTCAAACTGTATTTGCCAATAGGTTTTAAGAGAGCTTATGACAGGTGTAATTAGCCTGGGTGCCATCCGATTTGTAACGGCAACCCCGAAAACCCAGGCTATAACGTTATATGCTAAGGTGTAATGTCAGTACCTGTGACAGTGAGTGTATGTCCGTTACCAGTTGCCGGATGACCGCCTGCTTGATGTTCACCTGCTCCTCCAGGTGTGCGTTTTCCTGCATCAGCTGCTCATACTCTTCCCGTTCTTCTTTGGACATCTTTTGGCTCTAAAATCTATGGTGATCATCAAACTAAAGTCGGTACCATACACATATACCTGCTCTTTACATCTATAAGAAATGTAACATCTGAGGCAAGGATACGGTTTTTAAGATATCGAGGCTCTCCGTTGTTACTCGCAGAAGACGGTCTTGTCCGCACGTGTTCCTACTCCTCCAGGAAATGTATCTCTGAACTTTGAACTAGGGACAAACCACAAACACTTACGGGGACTGCGTGGAGGGCACAGGGGATCAATATCTTTATAAAACGAAAGTTATGGTGCTTCAATATGTTACATACCAGGAACTCTGTATAACGTTTTTAGTCAGACGGACTATTTATGTCATTCAGGTTAAGTAGGAAGGCTGAAGTGTAATAATATTCTATCCTCCTCCCATAACACAGCATGGGTGGTCCCTACTGAGGCATAGTGGGAAATTTCTAACATGGCGTCTTTTCAACACATTGCGGACGAGGCAGACGACGTTTCATCGTCGGTAAGTCGGCCGTGGTCTCCTTTGACGAAGTATATTTCGGGTTAACATCTACTACATGATATGTTGGTCATATTACAAGTAGTTTCGTGCTAATATAAGTTACAGCAACGTCTCCTTGTACCCTATTTTGTATTCATCTACGATGGGGAGGGGGGCATACAGCTACAGCAGCCCAGGTGTCTCCTTCCAGATGTTTGTTCGCTGGGGCCGGCTCAGCTCCGTCCGGGGAAAGAAATAGGGTTACACCCGGGCTAAGAAGACGACTGAAATTTTGCACACAAAAAAAATCAACAACAAAATTACCAAAGAGCTTCATGTAACCCCAGTGTGTGTCGGATTCCTTCAGGAAGAGATGGAGTCGGGCTCTGACTCAGATGAGGAGGTTGGTACTGAAGAATCCAAGGTACCGAAGGCAGGAGGTGATGGAAAGAGTGGAGCCACTTTGCAGAATACAATGAAGAAAGGTAAGTTCCGATACGTATACGCTGCAGATTAACGAGTGGTAATTTTTATATTTCATTTCTTGATTAATGTCAGTGTTTTTTTATTTCTTTCCTTTTACAAATTTTTCAATGCCATATCAAAATAATGTAGCATTCTTACATTTTTTCGTTTTCAAACAGAATTGTCTACTATGTCATTTGAGGACATTCAAAGACTGAGGGACAAGATAGGCACCAAAACGTAAGTACATGATGGACATGTGAGTGTATAAAGCTGCAAACATAAAACTATGCGCTATGGCAAATACATAATGATTTTCATCATCTGGAGTACATGTAGATTGTCCTAATCTGTTGTATACTAGATTTGTTTAATTTTTCCTCTCCATTTGTTACTATATGCTTTTCTCTCATTTCCACAGATATAACCAAGCACTCCATGGTTCAAATAGCAAGAGGGATCAAAGTAAAGTATTCAAGAGAGTCAACAAAAACAGGTAAGTTTAGTAGATATTTTTCAGTCAAAGTTTTTGTCTTATTCTTGCTGAACGTCTCATTCTCATCAAACAACACATTGTTTCCCCTTCTTTTCTCACTCATAGGCCAGTAGAGATGTCATCCAAAATTCCACCTCCCAGGATACGACAGGTGGTTCCAGTAAAAAAGAAGGTATGTCTATTTTAAGCTTGAACGTATTGTTATTGATAGTGTAAATATACAGTAAAAAGGTATTAATGTGCGTTACTGTTGCACTTTCAGATACACAGAGACCCACGTTTTGACGACCTGTCAGGAGAGTATGATGAAAAGATCTTTGAAAAGTCTTACTCATTTTTGGACCCAATGAAGGCCAGAGAAAAGAAGGTCAGTTGATGCTCCTAGCAATAGTTTGTCATCTTGTGGAAGAATTATAACATGTATTTATCCATTGATGTACATTCCATGTAATCAAGACTAGAAATGTTGCCTTTTTTTCATGGCTTTCATTAGATACCTCCTTTTACAGTACCTCGAGAAGCAGTTACGGAAAGAAAAAGATGAGGACAGAAGAAGGAAGATTCAGCAGCTCATTAGAAAAATGGTAAGTGAATTTTTGTGAACCTACATGTAGTTGTGCAACTGGGGTTAATGCATTTGTTTATTTTATCAATACATGTGTGATAAAAATGTCATCTACCAGTATTCCACTTTTTACTCTCTTTAACTTAAAACTTAGGAACAGCAAGAAAGAACCAAACGACAGGAGGACATCAAGGAAAAAGCCCTCAAGGAGTGGAAGGCCAAGGAGAAGGAGCTAGTCAAACAGGGAAAGAAACCGTACTTCCTCAAGAAATGTAAGAACCATTTGACTGGGTTTTGTATCATTTTCCCCATGATTTCTATGCCCACTACATTGCAGTGATCTTTCAAACATCTACATAATGATGCTATATCAACTGACATCAAATACATGTTTAGAAATGTATGTGAAATGTTTTTCAGCTGATGAGAAGAAGCTGGTGCTCGCACAGAAGTTTAAAGAGCTGAAGAAGAGTGGAAAGGTGGAGAAATTCTTGCAGAAAAAACGGAAGAAGAATGCAGCAAGAGACCGCAAACATCTGCCTACAGACTCTTGAGAGTCAGACAATTCTTGAAACACAGCAACGAAATTGAAGTAATAACACGCTCCTCAACAACATCAGTTTTATAACAAGGCAACTTGTATTTTGATTTTACCTATTTCACCTATAGTGTAAAATCGAACGATTATCACTATCAGTATCATGCTTATTACAAACTTGCTGGTAACTCTCTTGGATATGACTGTTTTATACAATGGGCACCTGCATGTACAGTATGCTTTTCAGTACTTGCAATAAAGAGACTGAAGGGTATATGTACTTCTAGTAATATACCAGTGACCAGATAACACTGCCAATGACCTCTTAGACATAATTTCGTACTCAGAAAGGAGTGGTTGCAATCTACTAGTATGCAGCCCTTCAGTCAAGAAACATTGGTATCCCTATATTATATTCTTGATTTCAGAGGAGTCCTGTAGTCAGTTGTCTCAAATACAGTTGAACACAGTTGTGACATTGGAAGTTCTAAGTAGTTCAGAATATCTGTCCAGTGTCATGATCTCATGCCCTTCAGTGCTTCTTCTGCAGCTGCCGCCTTCTCTTCTGCCTCCCTTTTTCTCCTCTCAGCCAGCTCCTTGAGAAACACACCATATTCCTCTGCCTCCAACTGGTGAACAACCTGTTGGCATGGAAACACAATGAGCAATCAGCTGCAACGTTCCAAGAAATGAACAGTTAGTACAACCACAAAATGCAAAGAAGAATACACATGTATCAACCAGGGCTCAAAATTAACAGTGTTCCAATAGCCACTGACCACTAAAATTTAGGCCAGGAAAATTAAAAAGACACTTTAGGACATTTTTTGGAACAATAGAAAAATAATCAACATCTGATCTAGAATGTCAGCCCTTCTTTTGTTTATCAGGCACACGTCCCAGCTTTTGGCTCCAGAAAAGTCATACACATGTACATACTTCCCGAAAAACAGGCTGGGGCAGTTCAACCTCACTTTATTTATTTTGGGGACAGTGTTGGGACAATAGGAAGAAAAGTTAATTTTGAGGTCTGTCAACATTGACATCTTTCATGATAACCAAGAAAAAGTCCCATACCTGAATTCCCATTGATCTAGCCTGTCCGATGATGCTTTTACACATCTGCTCAAGGGTCAGATGCTTCAGGTGTTCCTCTTGGCCTTTTACTTTAGCAATCTCATAAACATGTTTAACAGTCACTATTCCCCCAACTTCATGTCCTGTGCAAGAAAACAACATAGTTTCAATGAGACAAGCATTTCAAGCGACAAATACCAAGTGAAAATATTTAGTGAAAAAATTTGCAGCAGATCTCTGTTTGAAAGTGCATTCATCACAAGAAATGAATCTTGGTGGTAGACACTGTACACTAGACACAGTAATGCCACTCACCTGTGCTATGAGCCCCTTTGGCCACACCTGCTGCAGCCTTCAAGAAGTATGAAACTGGAGGTAGTTTGAACTCGATGTTCCATTTCCTATTGGGCTGGATAGAAGGATTCTAGTCAATACCACACTACACTGTCTACTACATGTATTATCAGTTAATAATCCATATCCAAAATCTGAGAAAATATAAAATACTCAAATTTTGGTGACAATGCCATTAACAGTTCATCTTGGTTGGTACACACAAAAATAAAATAAAAACAACTTTGTATCATGAATACTATTGTTAGGGGGAAGAAATGACTTACCAATATTGTTATCTTGCATGGCACTGGTACACCCTCCTTAATGTGTTTTGTCTTCTCATTAAAATCCTTGCAAAACTGAGCTATGGGGATGCCTCTCTGTAAAACAAAAACTTGTTGTGTTACATGTCATGTATCTCTCGTGTCATGTCATGTACAAATGTTACTGCTCTTCCCTTGGCTTCTAATCAGCTTTACCATTACAAAATGAACTGATGACTTAAAATAGTCCATTGTCTTAGGTAATTTTAAGTAATCAGTTAAGCTGTCCATCTCAAATCATGTTCAACATGTCTTGTGGGCTCCCTCTATAGTTTTAAGAGGAAGAAATTATTTCAATTTCAAAGCCATACCATATCATAAAGTATCAAACTTCAAAGCACATCAGTATCAAAATCATGAACACTTGATACTGTTACTTTTTTACCTGTCCTAGGATCGGTCCCAGAGGCGGGGCTGGGAGAGCCTGTCCTGCTGGCACTAGCCCCTTGATGAAGTTAGGGCCTCCTACAGCCTGGGCCATTTTCTTGGCGGCTTTCACGCCCTTAGACATGGTGTTTTCTTAGTTTTTCTCACCAGTTACATCCAGCATGTGTAGTTCTAGGTCACTGGGGTTACAGCAAGGCATTGTGGGGGGAAAATTAGACTATACCATTCAGGGAGGTATAATCTCTTTGTAACATCTTTTTTCATGCCTTAATGAATAAAAATTTCTCCAAAATAAGATACATACTTTAAAAAATGCTGTATAAATAGCATTTAATTTTATAAAATTATACAATAGTGCTCATTGACTCCTTTTGTCAGGAGGAAATATGACACAAATTACAATAAAACCCCTCTCTACATAGTATCGTCCGTGCGTAGCTTGCACGCTCGTACAAAATGGCCGACATGACTCCGACGGTGCAGGAGCTACAAAAGTTGAGGGTTACAGACCTCAAAGCCAAGTTGTCTGAACTTGGCTTAGCGGTGTCAGGTAAGAACTACGTTATGCAATTTTGAGAAGGGAAAATATTGTTCTGGTACGTCGTTTAATGCTGAAAATAAACATTCAAAAATTGCCCCCCTCCCATTATTTATTACACTCTAAAAGCCATTTCCCAAAGCTTCCCGCGGAACGAAACATCGGTTCTCGTCAGAAAATAAAAGTTACATGAACTGTTACGGATAGCCCAAGTAACAACAACACCGTCCCCAGGTGTTTCTGTATACAAAATATATCGAAGGCCCATATAAAGCACAACAACATCCTGGTATCATTTTTGCCAACAGTGCATGGTCACAAGACAAAAGGTTGGTTGGACAAATTATCCTAAAGTTGTCTTTTCCTATTTATATAAACTATTTAGGCATTCCTACAAAGGGCAAAATTTGGTTGCAATTTGCCATATCGTAGATGATGATTAGCACATTGTACCTCCATCTGCATGTACCTCCTTATGCTATATTTGAGTTCGGTAATTTAAGCGAAGAGACCTAGTAGATCTCTTCGCTTTACCGACCAATTTCAATTTACTGTCCGCCCTTGTAAAGCTGAAACATTTACCTTTTCATATTTTAGCCGTGTAGTACTCATCTGGAACACTTTACCTGTAACAATCCGTCAACATTTGTACTCAAATCTTAGCATTTCATCTGTCAGGAAATTGTTAGCCACTTATTACATATCCCGTGTACACTCCACATATTCCACCGATAACATATGCACCTGGTCCTCCATTTGTAGATGTCATGCCTGCCTAACCACTTAGCCATACCTTACTGCCTTTATTGTTGTTTGTATTTTGTATACTGTATATTTTTAGTTCTGATATTTAGATGTATCTTGATGTATTATTTGTCTCGGTGCTATGTATCTCTGTTGAGGAGCCGGCCCCGTAGAGAAACCAGCTTTCTGTTGCCGGCTCCTCACAGATTTTTTTAAAAATCTGTAAAGCTCAATAAATAAATAAAATAAACTTCACCTCGAGTACCTCCTAACTTGCCCATAGTCTTTATGAATGCTAAAAAAATTATGTGAAATAAACCATCACTTCACAAGATTTGTTAAAGTGAGAAGTTACTTTTATCTACTTCTAGTGGCAGATGACGCTTAAGTCATTTTCCATTTCAGCAACATTGGGCTGTTCCAAAAATAAAGGTGGCAGGATCTTGCTTAAAAGCAAAATTAGCGCCATTTCTGATCATTTGTTACTTAGCTTGAACTGTATCAACCTGCCCAAGTATTTTTGGCTCTTTGAACTTTGGCTGATTGACATCTACTTAAACCAATGGCAAGCCTTGGCTTGCGGGCCAAGGACGCCTAGTACATGTTGAAAAACAAAAGGTCTATTCAGTCTATCTTGTTCAACTGGTTCGTACCGGCGACATGATGTATCCAACCATGCAATTTTAGGCCATGCAATTTGTTAAATACATTTCATTAAAAAACCTTTTAATATTTGGATCCATGAAGTCAGAGACTTGGTGAGTTATGGACTTATGCTGTTGGACCAAAAGTTGTAGTAGATTTTGTTATTTGTATTTTTGAACCATTTTTTTGGGTTCATTGTCCGCGATTATCTGTTAAGTTTGAAATTGAACAATTTATACGTGTGCAAATGTTTGAGTGATACTAATCATAGAAATGCTCAATTTAGGTGGCAAGTGCAATCTGTTGTCTGTTAGTGTTACTTCTATTAGAGCATTTGTACTGTAAAATATTAATTAGAGCTTTATATCTGCTTGCTTTGTGTGTATCATTATGGCATACCAGATTAAGTTACTCAGTACTGTAAATCTTACTATTCTAAACCCAGATACATGTACCATCTAACATGTGTATTTGTAATGTCATAGCTTGAAGTCTATACCTGACCTCCAGTACACCTCCAAACATGGATTGTGACATGTACTTGGCTTGTGACATGTTATACATGTACAGTTGTAGTTGGATTTGTTGCAGCAGTAGTTGGATTCGTACATGTCCCATGGTTGTTGGACATGTACGAGTAGGAAAGTCAGACTCCCTATGTATGGGTTTGTGCCAATAGCCAATAAGTTATGTTACTTATGTATGATTGATATAGCAGGTCCTATTCAGTGTGGCGTCTCCTATTTTTGACATGTTCTTCAGCGCCTTTTATGGGGTGAACTGTATAACATGTCCATCCCTAGATTTGTGTGTAACTGTACATAGTCTGTTATTGTATAATCAGTCCTAAATCATTTATGCTTTAGAAGTTGTGTTTTAAATATCTATGACTACTTTCCAGGTCTGAAAGCAGAACTGGTAAACAGACTCTTTGAGTTCTACAAAAGGGTAAGTTGTCTCTACTTTCTAGTTGAGTCTAGTCTAGTTTTAGCCAGATATTTAGCACAACACTTATTTTAATACATGTAAAACATGAAATTTTCTGTATTACCTGGAAAACTGTTTTCTATCAAAATGTTTTTGATCTAGCAAAATGTCTAGTTAGCAAGTATGTTCTGGTGGCGATCCGTACCGATGGCTGAAAACAGAGGTCACTCAAAGAAAGTCCCAAAGACTCCCAAAGCTACTGATGTGAAATTATGTGTCCATTTTAAATCAAAAACTGTTTTCATCTTTCCCTGTAGCAAAACCAAGCAGCACAGATGGAAAGGGAGAGAGAGGCTCAAGCTCAGAGGGAAAGGGAGCAAGCACAAGCAAGTTAGTGTCTGTCTTACCTAACCCTGCACATGTTATACACGGATTATAAAATACATTTGTATCTTATGGCAGGGATTGAAAATTTGTAGTATTATTGTTCATGAGTGGTTGAGAAACACTTTTCATAGTAGCTATTTTCATATAACTGGTATGTCATTATAACATTACAGAAGTATAGATTGACTAAACTGTTCCTTTGGCCTGCTAGTTGAGCCCAAAAATGTACCTACAAAAGCCCATCTCACATTTCCCTTGTCTTGTTCTCCAGTGGCCCAGCAGGCCCCAGTGATCCCCCCTCCCCAGCTGATGCAGCAGGAGCAGGCCCCCCCTCAGCTGCCCCCAGTCCTGCAGCAGCCCCAGCAGCCCGAACCCCCTGCACGCCCCCCTCCCCAGCCACCTGCCCAGCTACAGCAAATGCCGCCGCAGGTCCTGCAGCCCCAGATGGTCCCCCCTCCGCAGATGGTCCCGCCCCCTCAGATGG